GAGCGTAAAAAAGAGAGAGAGAGAGAGAGAAAAAGAGAGGGAGAGAGGGAGGGAAGGAAAGAGAGAGAGAGAGAGAGAGAGAGAGAGAGAATGAGAAAGAGTAACAGAAGATATCTAGGTCCGGTTTCGGAAGGTTCAAGATCCTCGCGCGTACGCCTTCGAAAAATTCGGGGGGTCAAGAAATTCATCGGCGACGGCCGGCGCGCGAGCGACTTACGTCTCGAGGAGGAAACGCGTCAGCGTGCAGTGATTTTCGCCGCCGCCGCCCGATCTAATCACTCGCGACGAATCTAATTAGCGAATCGCGCGCAATTGGCACGAGACACCGTTACACCGAGCGTCACATCGAACATACGTGACTAACTCTCGCGAATGCGCTTACATAATTATTGCCAGATCGTAATTAATTCAACGGTGACGGGCTCCCCGTTACAATGTCGACTTATTCCGACGTGGTAGAAAAATTCATTCGCTCGCCGCTGAGGTTTCCCTTAACGGCACACACGAACGATAATACATTCGGCGTTAGAGCGTGGTTGCGGTTAACGTGGCTACGTGGCGATACAGTTAGCGGTAATTAGCAGATACTATCGAGAGACACGGTGCCGCGTGTCTCACGCCCAGCGCGGGCACCATTATTCCCCTGCGCGCGCGCTATCGTATATTAACTTTATCCCTCGGAATAATATTACCACCGAAGAGAGCACACAGCAGAGTCCACGGTGACGCTTCTCAAGGTCGTGGAATCGCGCGCCGTTTGTTCCAGTTACGCGGATGGACGCGCGAATTCCTGCTAAAACGTCGCCTCCCCCCAGCGCAAGCTGAATTAAACTCGCGCGATATCAAGGGGGTATCGCATGGGGATCCCTTACGCAATGTTAACTCAGGGTGTCTACTCGAACCTGAAAGAAAAAATCCCCGAGAATTCCCTGATTTTTCCAACAATTTGTTACAAATTCCAGGTGAAATGAAAGTATTTTTGAATATATCTTACAAATGATATATTTATTGTGCAAAGTTTTCAATATTTTTTTATTCATTGAGGTTTATAAATCATGAAATAAAATTAAGAATCGCTCAGTGTTCAACGATTAAATTGGAAGAATTTTGAAAAAAATTCAATGACTCTAAAAAATAAGTATTTTACATCGCATAAAATTTTCAAATTTTATTCTCAAAAGTTACAAGCAAAAATGTTACGCAATTATGCACAGCCGATGCAAAATTCAACTTTTATAAAACTATTAAAATCAATATCTGTCTTAATTAAACAAACTTGCACCTAATACGAAATCGTAATCAATATTGAATATCGGATTAATCGTAAAATCTGCTCTAAAAATCAGAGGAATATAATTAAATATTTTAACATATAGAATACAAAAGAGAGAATCTGTTATAAACATAGAAGAAGTAGTAATATTTAAATTTCCCAATTTCCAATAAAATTCCGCGATTTTTCCAGGCATAAATAAATCCCCTGAGAATCCCTGAGTCTTCCAGGTTATTCCAAACTCTCTCTGTAACTTTATATGTGTGCACGATCGTTATCACATGATGGATAAAATTCGTCGGATTCAAGGGATCCTTATTGTTCACCGTCCGTCGCGGATGATCGTAGGTTGCGCGTCGGCTCGTACGAATGGATCGGACAAAATTTCTCAAGTTCGATGAATCTTTACCGTCTCTCACCGCTCGTCGGCTCGAACGACGACGACGAAGCTTCACGTCGCCGTTCACGTGTACAACACGAGAGTGCAAGAACAAAAAGTTAATAACTCTCACAAGCGACACCCTCCAGCGTTCAAGGTTCGTGCCGCCTGAGAATGGATTCGGTACACCTACCAGCCTACCTACCGAGCCGCCCACGCCGCTCGGAAACCTCCCTGCATGGCCACCGAAAATCCTCCACCCGGACGATGTCGCTACCAGACCTTCGGGTCGAGGTCTCGAGAAAAGTATTCGAGATTTCTCTCGCAGCTGCGCGTGACGGGAGGAAGAGAGAGAAAAGGAAAGAAAGCGAGAGAAAGAGAAGGAGAGAGAGAAAGAGGCAGAGCTCGCCCACGCCGGGGCGCCATAAAAGTTGAGTTCAAATCTTCCCTCCGCAACCGCCTTCACCGTTGCGCACTACCATCGGCATCACCACCGGCGCACTCTCCCTCTTTCTTTCTTTCTTTCCCTTTTTCTCCCGCTTGCCTGCCTGCCTGCCCGCCCGTCTGCCCTGCTCGTTTCTTCTTCTTCTTCTTCTGCATCTTCTTCTTCTTCATCTTCTCCCGCTGGTCGCCGTCCACCCGCGATCTTTGCCTTCTCATTCCTCTTCTCCGACTTCTTCTCGTCTCGCCTTCGCTCGGGGGGAGGGAGGCTACGCGGGGTATCCTCTGCACACGGACCCGTCGCGACAAGCCACGTCGAGGAGGCCAAGAATGCACGGAACACTGCGGCGGTGGAAGGCGGTTGGCTGTGAGGCCCCACGAAGGGGAAGCCTCTCGAGCGAGCCGGGTTTCCTCGACAGAGCGAGAGGGGGAGAGAGAGAGAGAGAGAGAGAGAGCCTCCGCGGGGCCTCGAGGGCCACTCCGCGACCCGCCGGCAGGGAGGTGAGGTGTACAGGGGCAAAGTAAGGGGGACCAGGGCAGCCGGGGTAGGGGCCGGGAAGTGACCGGATGGCCTTGGTCCCGAGACTCGGTTAGTTACCGCGCGGGGCCGACTATAACCGGCCGTGCCACAGGGCGGTATCTCCGATTTCGACCGCTTTTTAAGACGACCGGACCGACCCGGAGAGGGGAAGGCGCGAGGACTGTCCGGCGGGAGGCAAGGGATGGGGAGGGAATCTGAAGGGGCGACAGGACGCAACGGCGAATACGCAAGGCGTTTATGCGCGCGCGCTCGTTCGGGAAGACGACGACGCCGCGAATGAGACGGCGGCGGGAAGAATGATGGAATTTTTGAGAAAATCCTTCGCCGTGTGAGCGCGGGTACGCAGGGAAACGCGAGAGGAAGCGCGCGGCCGGCACCGGCGACGTAATTGGCAGGGCGCGCACCGCCTCGAGATCCGCTTTTACGGGGGAGGAGGGGGATTTTATTCGAGTTCTTGCCGTATCCTGCCGATTCTCGGGTCGCGTATCGGGACGGATTTTACGAACGTTCCTGTCGCAGGTGCGTCGTATCGGCCGGCGAGGAAAGGAATAATCCGCGGCGATTTAATTGAATTATATTCGTATATATCGCATCGCGCGCGAATCGGCTCGCTTTTTTTCAATACCGGGTACCCGCGCGCACCTCGGCGATCCGCGCACGCATCCGCGCAAAAAGCGAACCGCCACCGTGCACGGAACTCGGCACGGCCGTTTAACAGCTTAATCGCAATTAGCCGAAAAAGATCGGCATGCCTCTCACGCGCGGTATTCCATTATTCGAGCGGCGGCGACGCGCCGCCGATGCGCCGTAAGAATGGTATTCTACGCGCGAGCGAGCGAGTTGAATCCGCCGGACGACGGTTGGAAATCGGCCGATTGCGCAAACCGCGCTTTTACCGGTGTCGCGAATCGCCGGCGGTGGACGAAACACTCTTCCGCGCTAACCGGCTTCCGTACCGCCGTCGATTTTCCGCGCTCAGGATCGACGCCCACGTCCGAAACGCGCGCGGATTACGAAATCGTACATACCCACCGGCGTGTCGCCGTCGGGTATTCCCGTCGTCGGCGGCAGGAATGAATAACCCGCGTTACTTACCCACCATCGCTCGTTATTGCTCAACAGGGGCAACTTATGAGAGCGCAAGAAGGTATATCTGCTCGGCGTGCACGGCGAGCTGTACCGGGTGGCTCGGAAGTCGCGAGCCGCGGATCACGACGGTCTCGCGCGGCATCGAGACGCGGTGTCGCTAACTTGGCTTATCCCCCGTTATTTCTAGCTTGTTGGAATGTCGACCGTACAATGAAAAATTTTGTATTACATTTTTAACACGTTTCCACATGTCCCAAACGGAACGCTCGGATTTTTATATTAATTTAATGCAAAGTGAATACGTTGAAAAATAATAGATACGGTTTAAAACCCCGCTTTTCTCGATTTTTCCTCGGAAAGAAAGCGAGAAAATTCGCGAAAAATTGCAAAATTCAGGGGCATCTCCTATTTTATTTCATTCATCGTGCGAAGAGAAATCGAAAACGCAAGATTATAATATCCATAATAACACTGTTAATCAATACTGAAGTATAAATACGTTATTTTAACGCTTGCAAGTGTTATTTTTACATTAATTCATATTGAATATTGACTCAACGCAAAATATTGAGATAACGTAAACAGAATATGTTAAATTAACTTACGAGTATATTGAAAATCTAACACGAAAATTTCAACAAGAACCGATTTTAGCACTAGCACAAAATGTTTTTTCCTGCGCCGAACTCACACACACATTTGTTATTTTCTGGTTTATTTCTGACTTATTTTACAGATGCATATGACGGATTTTGAAATATGGATCCGGCGATACATCGATCGAGGCACCGGAGGTAAATGTCCGTCAGGGTATGAGCGAATGAGAACGTAAAGAATGACGAAAGTTTTCAGGGTGGTTCTCCGGATGCTTCCGACTCCGAGTCCGCGAATCGTCGTCGGCCGAGAACGGCGCGCGCACTTCTGGTACGCCCTGTACAGTAACGCGTCTCGGTTAATCGTCTATCTGAGCTGATAATTACCACGGTGAGTTTGCGAAAATCCCATTCGCGGCGTTTCACGAAGGATGATCGCCGCGGACGAACGACGATTTCGTCGAAGCTCGTTACGTATTTCGCCGAGCGCCGGTGAAAGACGGTGAGAGACGTCGGCAACACATCGTCGTTTGAGAATCTCACGTAGAGAGTTATCTCCGTCAATTCGTCTCTACTGATACAGAGAGTCTGAGAGTCGCAGGCGTTTTCGTGCGGCTGATTTATTTATTATTATTATGTGCGTGTGTGCGTCATGCTGATTGGCTGATATTAATTAAATTACATCGCATTTTTGATGCCGCTCGCACACACGCGCGCGTTTCGAGGACGCGGCAATCCCTGCGAAGACAACCCGGAAGGTGATGTCGACGAAGTGGCGCATTAAGAGAAAGAGAGAGAGAGAGAAAGAGCAAAGTACTTCGTGATACTTCAGCGATGACGTTTTCCCACGTGTCCGCAATCAGCGGGCAACTAATAGCGCGGGATATTAAGTTCGTCTTATGCGTATTATATCTCATACGCGGACGCGCGGATGACGTTTATGCAGATTACCTTCTTCTGTTACGATTCACTTCGGATCGCGACGATAAATCGGCGGCGGCCGTGATGAGGAGGCCGGGAAACGGTCTCGCGGGTCAAGGAACTGTTTTGTATAGGTTCCTCTCCGACGCGTTCGCGACGCGTCGTGATTTAGGCGTTACCGCCTCGTTCTTTTCTGCCTCGGGGAGCCTCCGGGGAGGAGCGTGTAGTTCCCCCCGTCGTCGTCGTCAGCTCCGTTCTCGAGGTGTAAACCCAGGTATGTCGAAAAAGCCGTCTAAAAACAGCCGGCAATCTTCATCAAGCGAGCGCGAGGCGAATAGGCGCTAATTACATCGCACGAAACGCAAGCTGAAATGGAACGGAGGGAATGTAATTAACGAAACTAGTTGCCTCCTGAACGCCGCTTTTGTCCCCGTTTCCCAGACTTCCTTCTCGAGAGAGTTCGGACCGCGAGTGCTGCTCGGCGATCAGACGTGATCTGTATTCTTCACTCGAGATCGATCGATCACTCTCCGTGCGTAACTTCGTGTGCGCATTGCGTCATGTCCAGCCTTTGGCTGGATCTACAATCGATGTAGCAAGCCTTTAGCCTTTTGCTCTGAGCAGTAAATCCCGATATAACACACGTGTTACATCGCATTTACATCGATGAGTGAGAAATTATAAGGGTTCGAGCTTATGCATACTTATGCTTACGCATAAATCGTCGCAAAATTTGCACAATAATTCTAATTATAGTGATAAAGTTGCAACGACTCTAATTATAACGGCTCCGATTTTATATGTTACACATGTAAGGCTGAAAATCGTGTAATTGCCGATCTGGGGAATGATATAAAGTGTACATGACGCAGTATCGTAATGCCCGTCGAACGGCTCATATCCGTATGTGAAAAGTTGCCATGAAATCGGAGGCCCTGGTGACGACGTGTTCGAATTCCAAGTAAGACAGAGCCCCGTCGCCGTCGATGTCGCTCTCCTCCAGAACTTTTCGACACACGGTAGCCACCTCTTCGGCGCTTAGCCCACCTCGAGTCAGCTGCCGACAGGTGCGTTCCAGGTCCCCCAGACCCAACACCCCGTCTTCGTCGAAATCTGTTCACGGAAAACTACTGGTTGATTGATGATGGGCGAAACGTAACGGAAAGTAAAAAAACCATGATTAGCGCAACTGCGTTGTCTTGAAGCGCGGTGCGTTCGATTAAATAAACCTCACCGTGAGAATTCCACACCCCTTTGCGCCGAAGACGCGTGTAACGGTTTGAATTTTAATTAAGTAGGAGAAAAAGGAGGGTAAAATGATTATTCGGTAATTTTCCTAAGCTGATAACAAACAACAAATCGGTGCCAACTCGTTAGGCGCTTTCAATAATAATAAATAATCCGTTACAGTTTGACTTCAATTTATCAACGACAGTAGATAAGTAATAATAATAATAAAGAAATTAATATATAATCTGTTCTTAGCTGAACTGGCACTAGTTCAAGAAATGTACATGCACATTGAAGCGTATGAAACGTACGCACAAGATTCTCGTGCTTCAGTGTGCGTAAATTTCTTGAACTGATGCCGTCAGTTCAGCCGGAAAGAACAGACCAATAAGAAAAAGAATGTATTTTAGAAGAATACATCTATATGTAATTTTGTGATGCTTCTTCATAAAGAATTATACAATTGTATACAATGTAGTAAATATTGTCACTTTCTCTATATAACTACTGTATATAGTATATCTCAAAACGTATATAATAACGTAATATTATTTTTCATTTCTCATACTAAAATATTTCTCTTTAATCGACAAATAAGCAATAATTGCGAGAGACTGGTTTCGCGTACACGGTCTTGCATTGTTGACTTCTCTAATCCGACGGAATTAATATCAGAGCCAGTTCTGTGATAAACGGTAAAACGGCGACCGCTAAAACGAGTATCTGTACATCCTTTATTCGCGCGTCCACACTCGCGGGAGTAAAGCTCGCTCGCGTTTATAAAAGTTAAAAACAATAAATAACGCGATAGAAACGCGCAATTTACGGCGCGGTAGAGGAACATCGGACGGGAGGTATAATTATGACGCTGCGCGTCGGGGCAAAATCGATCGGCTCTTCCGTGCAAATATTCTCGTGCATCGTGGATATCGTGTCTGAGCGCCGTATGTACTTCTCATCCCGCGGAACAAGTACAGCGAGGTCGACCTCCAGGCTCTCTCACGGTTCGTTCGTTCGTTCGTCCGTTCGTCCGTCCGCCCGTTCATCCGTCCGTCCGTCTGGTTCACCTGGTGGTCTGTACCGTAAATTTTGAAGGCGTAAAAGACTTTCAGATCCCGCGGTGCCTGCTCGGAGAACACGGACATCATCTCGAGAAATTCCTCGAAGCAGATCCCGTCGGACGCCGAACGTCCCGAATCCTGGCGTCGCGTGAAAACTTCCGAAATACGTTCCCTAAACGGATTCTCCTGAAAAGGGAAAAAAGAGGGGGAAAAATAGTAAAAAAAAAAGAGAGCACACAATAATGAACACTGCGCGGAGAACACACAATAGAGAGATGGAATGAAAATAGAATAATTTAGAATAGAATAGATCTCTCGGGTGACAATAAAGTTTCGAGATCTCTGGAAACTGAAAAATGCTGCGGAATAATAAAAAATCTAAAAATCTCAATAGAGAGACATACCTCAGTAAACACTAACCAACAATAACATTACGTCAATGTTATAATTTCTCACTCAACAATGTAATATAACATGCGTTGTATATAGCAGTTGCATTGTTGAATAGAAAATTATAATATTTTTGTAATGTTACTATCAGTTAGTGTTTACTAAGATGTGTCTGTGCATATATAAAGCACACACACACACACACACACATATTTGTAACGTGTTCGAAGTTTATTAATACAATCGAAATGAACCTTCAGTTCGGGAATACGAGCCAAATGCGAGAGGGGTAAACGGAGGGACGCCGCTTCTTGTGGCGTCATAGTGCGCGGTATCATTCCAGGATCTCCTATCTCCCGAAATCTCTTAAATATTCTGGAAGTAGACGCGAGATAAGAGTCTCGGCAAATTAGCGAATATTAATAGAATTTACGGGACGATAACGTAAATGCGACGACACCTCAGGATTTCCTTGCGCGTGAAGAAAGTGCAATCCTGATAATCCTCGAGTTGCTCCTCGGTGAAGGTTGCCACTTTGTTTCCCATCGCACTCTTTATTAAAGTATCTTTTTTTTTTATATTTCGACGCACATACGTGATTTCGTTATCTCTCACTAATGGAATAGTTTTCTCTGTGTCGCTTATTATTACGAAGCGAATAAGAGAGAATATCGAGTAAAATATTAAAAGGAAGAAAAAGAAAATCCGCTCTCCAGCTCGAGTCGTGCGAAAGGGTATGTTACATTGACGAAAGAACAGCGGGAACTGAGTTTTCGCATCCCCGATGTTCGTTACGAAATCGTGCAATCTAATAACCAGGGTGTGTCCCGCCACTCCCATCTTCAGGGACGCTTCGATGTTAGATTTACGGCAAATTACGACCCACTTTTGTACACCCTGCTTCGTGGGCGATACACGACAACGAACGTTATTTCTCGACGTTGACGCGAATCTTTTATTGACAATCGTACCAGTCAGAGATCACAGCGTATCAATTACATAAGATAAATACGTAAAACTGTTTTATTGAAAAAAAAAAAGAAAGGGATAAAAATCGCAATCGCAAGTTACAATACTGTTTCGGTCTCTCTCAGATGTAATGATCCTCGTACGCCTCTTTGCAATCCTGCAAATTGTGAACGCATTCCGCGAATTCGTCCTCGTCCAGCCCGGAATCCGTGAAGGCGTGTAACTTCTTGATACTTCTTATTCTCTTGATTTGCTTGAGCAGTGTCTCGTACATCGCCGCGATGCTGCCGCTGCTGTGCATCCCAGCCATCACCGCAACCGACTTCACATCTGAAAGTAAAAAGATACAAGTAGCGTTAATATTTACCGTTTAATCTGTGCGCTATTTTTCTTTTTTTTTCTGCCAGCGACAAGGAAGACGTACCAGCTCCTACGGGCCAGCCGGCGATGCTGCCGTCTTCGGTTACATTATTATCGAATATCTTTGGGTACGGATCGGCGATTTTGAGGGGCGCCTCGACGTCGGTGAAATAAGTGGCCGACGCGTGACACGTGCACGCCAGATAAAACGTCATCATCTCGTGCACGCTGGAGCATCGGTAGGCTGGCTTGGATATCTGCCTGCTGGCCTGCTGGATGGGTCGCTTCATTCGATCCTGGGGAACCCCTCGCAACGCTATGCTCTGCATATTATCGTCCATCGGTATGTCGCAGCTCGGCGTCAGGCTTGTCCACAACGGCCCTTCGAATTCGTCCAACATGTCTATCAGATCAGTCTTCATCTTCATGGGGAACGGCAGGCTCAGGCTGGTGGCCGCCGCTCGGCGGCCCAATTTGTTCAGGTCGGCGCACAGGTCGGACAAACTGACATTCGGATACTTCTTAGTCCTGTATCTCAGAGTCAACGTGTCCAAGGCGGTCGCCAGTATCGCGCTACTGTGATACTTGAGTTCCGGCTTGTACGTTACGCTGTCGAATTTGCGCGGGTCAGCCGCGAACGGCCAGCCAATCTGCCCGCAAGAGAGCGGACTGTAGAGCGACGAGTGCTCCCCGATGTGCCGCCAGCACAACGCCGTATTGACAACCTTGATCAGGTCGGACGCACTCGGATCGGCGTTATTGAAGTCCACGCATGGGAATGTCAAGATACTTTTCCCGTACTCGTCGCGTAAATGTTGAATACAAGAGGCCCCGAGACCGGCGAAGCCGTCGGTGGAGTCCGCGAGTACCTGTCGTGAAACATAAAGTACGAAATATCACCTCAATGATATCTTAATGTCATCGGGTTGATGCAACAGTTCAGTTATCAATCGATTCTTCGCTCAGAAACCCTAAAACTTCCACAGACAGAGAATCGTGCTACTGAAGAGAACGGCAGATTCTCAAAGAAAACCGCATACTCAATTGTGACTGAGTGCATTTTAAGATGAATAAATGTTGCACGTACATTTTCATCAACATCAACAGAGTGAACTTTCGCATCAACTGAATAAATTGGCGTATAATAATGGCCAAATACATACATGAAACCCTTGCATCAAATCGCACTCTTCTACATAAGATCTTATCCTGTCTGAAAAGTCATCGGAGAACTGCTCTGTTTTCCATAAATTGCAACCATATGTGAATATATCGAACGGTCGATTCTTACAATTATGCGAATATTCTTTGATAACTGCCAATGACCTCGGATGAAACAAAGGTAAAAGATAATCAGCCCATGATGATTTCATGTCATTTTCGTCATCACTCGAAGTTGAATGCTTAGCTTCATCTGGTTCGTTCAAAGCCTCTGTAGACGGTGTTTCCAGATTAGGTATTTCGGTGCTGGCGATTTCCAATTTTCCGCCGTCCCATAGTCGGTTATTCGAGGCAGATTCTATGCTCGTCGGCTCCGTATCATATAAGATACCTTGTTCATACATAGAGCCTATTCCTCCTTTTAAATCTGCTATCAATACTCGCGGTGTAAATGTAACTTGTCTCTGCGAAATGCAACTGTCCAATTATAATTACTATCTCAATCTACTATTTCACATAGCAGTTGTATACATCATATATATTATGCATATATATAATACACCTATTCATAATTAATGATTTTATAACATCCTTACCTGCAGATTTTCACCTTCCCTGTACAGCACATCGTGATTTACTTCAGCTAGATCTTTCGGATCGTACGTGAAATTGGAAGTCTGCAACAAAAAATCTTACGGTGCATTGTGATCTTTAAAAGAATTATAGGAATAGGAGGGGGCTTAAGATTTGTAAATAAAATATAACATTAATACCTGCAGATTCCACCAATGCATGCCAATAAAATTAGCATAATGTCCCAATTGAATGGTCAATATCTCTCGCGCCATTATTTATTCTTCAAACCTATATTCTGTTCTATTGAAAAAAATATGACTGAATACACCAATAGGTTAGTTTCTCCTCTTCTGCTCTTCTAAATTGACATCTTTTCCCGAACGCAGAACTATACTTGGATCAAAAGACTGTCATGTCGAGGACCGTCGTACTGCACAAATCGCCGTAGTGTAGACGAAAGTTGAACTGAAGAGGGAACCAATCAGAATATTGCTTTATGTTTCAGTAACCCAGAAAAGGCAATTACAAAAGTCTTAGTCGGGGGTCTTTGAGAATTAGGTTTGGTTACTAGAAGTGAAGGAGATCAAGTTGGCAGCGCTGAGAATCATTTATAGCAACCAATGAAGAAGAGAGCGAGCCAAAATTGAAATTAGCTGCTTTAATCTTTCATCAACATTAAGTCGGTTCATCTTGGTTAATGATATATACACCAATCACATAGTTTCAAGACTAATATTTATATTTCTCTTTATTTACATTTCATTTAAATATTAAGATTATAATAACCTAACGTTAATATTCAGTGCATTATTTCTTATTTCTCTCTTAAACACGCCCGATCGCTTAATGTTACGCTTGATTAATTCAATGTACAAATATATACAACCTTACCAACAATGTGGTGGTAATTTTTACAGAAAATTAGCCATCGGATCATCATCGTCTTTCCGCTTCATCTGACACGCTTCTATCTCTTCGTTCGTCGGTTCCTTCGCCTCGTACATGCTGTTGTACGGACGTTTCCTCTCGTCCATCCTCAACAATTTGTCCGCCTCCTTCGCATATTCCTCCTCCTTTCTCAACGCCTTCTTCGGCTTATCCTCCTGTTTCTCAATCTTCCTTCTCTTCTTACGATTCTCCTTCCTCTTTTGTTTCTTCAATCTCCGTTTAGCCGCCTTGCTCTGCCTCTTGTTCTTCGTATCTTCGTCGTCGTCGTCGGACTCGCTGCTCGAAGAAGAGTCCTTGCCTGCGGTATCAGACTACGGATTAGAGATTAAATTGAAATTTGACCAATCAGTACAAAATTCACAAAATTTCACTAAATTTGAATTCAGTTATCTTTGCACTGATTGGCCAAATTCAATCTCAATTCAAGCCCCAAATCGTAGTCTGATACGGGCATTAAGCACTCAACAATCAAAAGGGAACGGCTGTAAATAACGTTCGCAAGCGTGAGCGTTTACAGCGCGTGAGCGTCCAAAGAGAACGCACCCTACAAAGAACAGACTGTTTGCGATCTACCTCTACTGCTACTTTATTCATGTCTTCCCCGGTTCCGGTGCTTTGATATGTTTAAATTTCTCATGTACAACAAACATTTGCTTGGACTTTGCATTTTCGAGTAAAATGAATCGCACAGCAGTAAGTGAGTCGAGGACCGATCGTTTGTTGATGCTTACACCGCGTACACCGCGAACGCGAGAACGTCAACGATTCGATTTAACTGCTCTATTGGGAGAGGAAGAGGAAATTGACATTTCGGGATTGAGCGGTATAACATGATCGTCTTATTTTTTAATATTTTAAATGTAGCATTATTATTTAAGTTTAAGATATATATATATATATATATATAAAATATGGCACGTGCAACACTAATTTGCGATAAATTCTCTAAATTCAAATATAGCTCGATATTAATGTGCGAACGGATCAACAACTTGGCCTATCCTGTTTTACTGAAAATATTCACAATATCTGTTTTTAGTTGAAACAGCAGGGAAATTTAATACATACTTGAAATTTTATAAATAAACTTCACAGATCTGATAGGTCAAACGTGGAACATATATGCTACATCTGCTCTGTTTGGTTTTCAACGTGATGACGTCTCCTTGAAACTGTATTCAAAGAAATTAAGAGAAGAAATCGCAAGACACTTGTCTCATGAAGATTTAACTTACGATGCAAACTTTTCTATTGTGGAAAACATTATACCCAGGTCTAATCATGAAAATTACTCAGCGATTAAGGTTAGTAAAAAATTAGTAGTATTATTATTATTATATATGATGGACAAAATATTCAAAGATATCGTTAAATATCTGTATTGTGTATTCATTATAAAGAATAATGAAGTTTGAAACAATTCAAAGTATATATATTTTAGATACAAGTTACGGCCAAAAGTAGTGGTAATGAGGAAGCAAAATTAATTTACAAAGGGATATTGTTATCTTGGAGAATGGCGCAGCATATTGAGCCGGATTTGAAGAACTCCACAAGGTTACCTCTTCTGTTGTGTCGTGGCACATGTAGTTGTATGAATGCTGTACACAATGTTATTAATCATATGTTTGACTGTTTGGTAATGGCATTACCAGTCAATGAGGATGATCTAAACTGGCTTATACCGATTATAATCATATCAGTTAACAAGGACGAGCAACCTACGGTCTCTGGTGAAATACATATGGAATATACAGTACCGGAATTGCCAGCTACAGATACCATTAGAGTCAAATTTGATGCTTCAGAGCTGAGGAAAATATTAACAAAGTATGTATGCGCATAGCACATATCAATGTTTAATTGTACAAAAATACTTGTTGGAATAGTCGGCGACTTAAAGTTCATATTGTTTGTCAATTTGCAGCATTATAGACCAGAATAATATTACAGTTAACACAATTCTTGACCGTAAACACGTAGAACTATTTCACGAAGTTCTGCGTATGCAAATGTTAACAATAGGAGGATTACATTTGGGATTATGCACATTGCACAGGATCAACTTACCTGGTATAACAATAACAGGGAACAGAGTAAGCTTACGTATTTTCCTCGAAGTTTGTTTCTTTTTTCTTTTCTTGATCAAAGTTTATCTCTTAATTTATACTGAGATTCAAACTATATTTCCATCTGAATACATTTGTTATATCTATCAATTTTAGTACATGTCAATTTTTCCTTATTTAAAAGTATGTCCGTATTTGCTATATATAATGATTTTTTGTTTTAGATGAAGATAATGAATGTAGATATTGCGAATCGTATATTGTTGTATTTGTACGAAAAAGCTTACGATACGTTTCATATGATACACATAAACGTATAAATATCTAGCATTTATTTTATCGTTCCGTGACACAAGACATATAAATATATTTAAATTCACCCCAATTATGTCATTGTATTCTTCCACAAACAATGCAAACAAGCAAGTTAATAAAAAAAATGTATATATTGAGAAATCATAGTCAATTTATTTATTGTACAATAGTACAAAAATTTACATAATTTCGAAAAAGCCTTACATTCTACTACGCCCACGTCGTTACACACACGCACACGCACACATATGCACGAAAGAGATGTTAATCCTGTACAATTTTCTCATATTTTTGAAAAATGTGTACGAATAAAAAAAATAAAATAATTGTACAAAAATTGTTTAATTGGATCATGATTACTAAAATCTTATTTTTCGAATTATATGTCAATATAAACCATTTTCATTTACACTTAGTGAAAATTCACCAACTGATATTTTCGTGGATCGTATGCGAAGAATTGTTTGTTTAATGTCTGTGCGCCTAAGGCGTGTGTAGCCTGCTTAATGCGCAGTTCACTCGCCGCGTTTAGCAGAACGTTTATTTTGCAACTGTTTTCTGCGCCAAGATTGGATTATTCCTTTAGACCTAGAGGAATAATCCAATCAACAGTTGTAAAATAAATTCTGCTGAATGCGGCCGCTGATAAGCGGTCCACCAAGATGACCGTTCAAAATAGTTTAAGCGTATTTTGCAGTACGGTTCGCATAAATCTTTATACACTAAGAATGAAACTGCCTGGAAAGAATGAAGAATAACAAAGATTATTATTATTATTTAGTTTTTGTAGAACTTTTTGTATAGTGATGTTTCAAAACACTGCGTATAACAGATAATGATAGATAAGACTTCCAGGAATAATGACAAATAGGATTCCCCCGTTTTGCTCACTTGATGACTCACATTAGAGTTATACATAGATTCTTATAGTACAACGCAGAATGCATGTCATTCAGTGAGAAATAGTGACAGTAGTTGTGCCGTGACTGAAATATTAAACGGTGTCGCAGTATTGATAAATAATTCGCGATGTTTAAAATCGACTATCGTTCCCGAGACAATCTTCCAGAATTAACGATCAAATTAATCGGATCCTTCAGTATTGACGGTGATTTACAATATCACGCCGATTTGCGGCAACTAAAATATTACATTCCTCCTACGGATCCTAACAATCTATCTTATGATCTTGATTATAATGCCGAGTATACCAATTACAAACCCGGTACATATATAAAATTGGACGATATATTAAGATGGATTTCGGACAATTTTACTCAGCTTTCAAAACCATCAAGACCATTATCAACGAATGAAGGACATTGGTATGTTATTAACCGTTTGAGTCCCAAGCAGCGCGATCGCGCTGTTGAGATTTTATGTCGAGAAAATCCAGCACATTTCGAGCATTGTGGACAACTGACGGTGCGTTACCGATTGTCGAAGTCGCAAGCTCAGATTTACTGACGCAAGTACATCACACAGCTCCTTTTAATGTAAATAGTACATTTTACAATATGTAGAATAATACTATAATAATGCAATAATACATTCCAAAATAAAAATTTTTATTTCATTATTATCTTCTCAATAATTTTTATCGAACAAAACTTGAAATATTTATAAATTTACAGTACGCATATGTAATAATACAGATGTATTTTATTTCTCGACATAAAATAAAACAAGCGCTATCGCGCTGCTTGGGTCTTTTCGTACTCATTTAGTAAAAGCGCGGTTGCACTGTTTGGGATTCTTCGACAGTGTTTTTCTAATACCCCCCGGGACTCAAACGGTTAAATAAGCATAATTGAAACAATAATGTGCACATACAATATATGTGTGTGTATACAGGGTGTCTCAGACCAACAAGGACAAACTTCGTGAGGTCGTAAAACGAATTGAGATGAGCAAAAAAATCCTGTGCCATTTGCAAACAGCACGCAAGATTTTGAGTTATTGAAAATGGCCATGTATAGAGGCTTCTTTAATTAATAACTCAAAAATTTGCATGTTATTCGCAAAATGGTGAAGGACTTTTTCATTCAGGTTGGCCTAATCTGTAAATATATGACAGTTGGTGCACCCAGCACCAGTTATCAATATATTAAATCTTGGGTCTGTCACTAAGTACAGTTATCATATACTTGTAGATTAGATTACTCTGAACAAAAAATCCCTTTATCATTTTGCAAAGAACACGCAAATTTTTAATTGTTATTAAAAATTATTTGTATTATTTTCATTATACATGGCCATTTTCAATCAAAATGGTAGAGAACTTTTTGTTCATTTCAATCCGTCCTACGCCCTCGTGAAATTTGTTCCTGTTGGCCTGAGGTACTCTATATAATATATTATACTAATCGCAAACAACACTGATTAGGTTGGATGTAGACTTCGTTTGCCGTCGTGGTGCTTTAAGAACAATATTCTGTAGCCCGTACAATAAATTTAAAGGATGGATTATTTGTGCTAGTAAATATCGTGGTACGATATACTTATGTCAATTTTATATAGATGAAAACCAGCATGCTAATGAATCACAGGATAAACTGTATTCACGCGGATTTAAGTTTGAACAATACATGGTAGCAGGTATTACATTCATTTATATATATAGCAATTTACGATAATTTGATCAACTTATATTGCAAATTAATTTATGTAATGATTCTGGTTGTATTTTATATACATATATTTAATAGATCACCCATCACACAAGCCAGATTTATCGGTGCCTCTTAATGAATGTGAAGAATTTCGTTGTGTGTTTAAAACAAAATTTGGCAATCATTCATTATTATATGGGGCAGAAATAGACGGCATTTGTTCAAAACAGCCAATAAAGGATACACTTGTTGGCAAAACGGATAAATTCCACCTCATCGAATTGAAAACGCTACCATTGTATGGTAAAAATACTAACTTGAATGGCAAACTTCCTGCTAACAGGGTAATAGGATGGTGGAGCCAGAATTACTTGGCGGGAATAGACAAAACTATATGCGGATTCAAAAACAAAAGTATAGTGAAGATGATAAGGGAATATCCTACGCAAATCTTACCTCAACTTTCCAAAGTAATTAAGTAAACATTTTGTTAAAAGAAAGTAGGCTAATGTTTTGTACGGTCATATTAACTTTTTTTTCTTGCTTCGACGCAGGTTAAATGCGATGTTAATGACTGCAAAATGTTCTGCAAAATATTCCTAGACTATGTCAAAAATATTGTCGTTAAGGACCATAGCGAATGCATGTACAAATTCCATTGGGACCCGTCCACCAATAACATTGTGCATTACAGCGAGGAACGCCCCAATCATGAATTGTACTTCTTTTTGAAGCCATGGTTCATAGATGCAATGGAAAATACAGAAAGTAGTTCCTTGTCAGTGTAAACATTTAAGGTCAAGAGTCAAGACATCCGAAGGAAGATAAGGATATCTATATTGCAACAAGAGTACAAGATACGATTGAACATGATTCATCAATATTTTTGAACAAACGCAACGTCAACACTCGGCGGGTCTGAATGTGCAAGAAAACTGGAGTTAATGTTAAGAACATTAGCCCATATTTTTATTTGTATCCTTTATTACGAGAGCGTATCTCATTTATGAGGTACTTTAGAAGACTATTGCTCGCGAACAACTACTGTAATGACAATAATTTTCCAGAAAAATTTCGTACACCGGTTATTATTTTACATTTTATACAAAACTTTATACAATTAAACTTAAACACGATAAGCTCGTACATTTAATGTAGCTTTTATTGTACCGTCAAGTAGAATAGAAACTTGTTGATTTTGTCGACTTTACGCATATCAAACACTTCGACCCAGTACTTGATTCATCGCGTCCATTTCTTTGTGGGACATAGGTGTCAACATTGATCCAGGTACCGGCGGAGTTAATTCTAAGTCACGTAATTCATTTACTTTTACCTTTAAGTCGCTTCTTATCTGATTAATTACGTTACTACATTCTCTCTGATCTGTAACAACAGAAAAAAAAAGCTGTGGATGAAAATAAATTTGTTTCGATCGTTTGTGTGCCGCGCGAATTTAGAGCAGATTACCTTTCTCGAGCAGTTCCACAGCCGCCTCAGATGGCATTTTTATCAGCAACGGGCCCACCGTTATCCACGTTTTTTCACACGATTCTTTTTCTAGCGCCCTCATTCCTACACGATCGTCGTTCCTTCGCTTGTCCAGGGCAACTATTTCCTCGCGATCAGTGAGAATCTCACCAGCTTTGTGTTCAACTTGTTCTAAGTGTTCCAACAATTTTTGATGATCATTCATCCTCTGCAACATAATTTAGTAAATTTATATGTTATGTTTCAAATTTATCACTCTTTCCCATATTACATTAACACATTGAAAGATTCGCAAATAGACACATCTATTCGTACATAACAAGGTTCTCATTTTTCAGTAAAATAAAAACCAAGCTTCTGTACTTCGAGTTACACTTTTATTAACAAACAACTGACACGAGAATATGACACAAGTAATTACAAAAGTTACAAAAAAAAAACATACTTGAAAAAAAGAAAGAAAAAAAAAGTGAGTAACATCAATCTACAATATTTGTATAATTGAATTATTTTGTAATGCAGAGAGACGGTGAACTTACAAGCACGAATATGTAAGAACAATAACAATTATTTTCATTGCCTTGAATTTTTAAATAAATATGCCACATTCATATTTATAAAATCATTTATATCCTATTTTAAGATAATGCAACACGCAGAGCCCTTTCTTTCCTAGCCTCTCTGTGAAGTAGCCTCTCTCTGTCTCTTTTTTTCAGAGGCTTCTGCTTGGCTGCCTTAGCGCCGTTAATGGCCGTAGTGTCGCCCGACTTGAAGTGAGTGACTCTGTATTCACTTTCCACCGGTTGGCCCAATCCTTTGCGATCCATCTTCAAACATGTTTTGATCGGATACTTCATTCCCTTTCCGGAAGGCCCTAGACCAGCCTCCTCGTCCCAGCCGGTGTTCAACAGCATCTTGTATCCTTTATTTTGCTTCGATATCCCGTACATCGTGTGCTTCAACTTGGGCTTTGTGTTGAAGATATGCAAGGTGGAAGCCTCGTGCTTCTGCGGAGTCGTCTCCTGAAAGATAGCTTTGCAGACTTCGCAGTAAAACGCCGTGTGCTGCGAGTGCGCTTTCTCCTCGGCGGTGTTGCGAACGTCGCTGTCGTGATCCTTGGAAGATTCTATAGACAACGGCCTCATCGGCAGGGCATTAGCGTTATTCGACCTGGATATACTCGCGGACGGCTGATTATTGTTGTTGACCGATTCGGACTTTTTCTTGAGCAACGCGACTATGCTCAGGTAATTCTTCTTCAAGGCTAACTGGGCTGCGGTGAGGCCGGACCTGTCCCTGCTTCTCTTGTTGGCCCCGAGATTCAGCAGGAATTGCACGATCTCCAGATGGCCGCAGTAAGCGGCGGACATCAACGGGGTCCATCCGAAGTCGTCGGACACATTCACGTTCTCCGACGTCATGTGCTTCTGCAGGAACTTCAGATCCTTCTGCTCCACCGCTTTCAACAGTGTATTGATCGTGACTCTCGCCAGGACATCCTCCGGGACTACGGTCTTCTTTGATTGCGCGTTGATGGAAACCGAATTCGCGCCGGGGCTGTTCTGACCTCCGACCGCCTTCGACTTCAAATACTTGAATCTGGTCGGTGTGACGCTACCGCTTTGATGAATAATCTCTTCGTAAGCGGCTTTAGCTTCGCTTCCCTGGAAGGCCAACTGATGAATGCGTCTCTCCGGGGATCCGTCCCGCACGCTGGAAGACTCCCTGATGAAGCTCTTCCACGGTATGTCGATGTTATGTCGTATGTGTATCCACTGCTGCAGGGACATTGCTCGAACTTACGTTGCGCGACACGTTGATCGCGAGATCCGCGCAACGGAAGCAACCGTGCGGCAACCGGGCTCCCCGCCCCCCCGCTGCTCTGTGATCGTCCGTTCGCGCGCCGCGAATAACAACACACATGCGGTTAACTGTGACCGAAAGACGCGACACACGACGATCAAAAGTGACACATGTCCGCGCGAACTGTCGTACTTCGCACTTCCGCGATAACAGACTTTGCTATCGAGGAGGAAGGTGGAAACAGACCCGCTGCTACCGCGAGAGACGCTGGCGATCTCACAGCGATCTTAGAGCCGATATGCATCGTCCGTGACAGTTTGACGTCTTATCGTCGACATAATGCGTCGTTGACGAAATTTACCTTGACTGCTCTCGTCCTTGGCGCACGATTATCGCACGAGACAATGGGGAATTGTTCAATCGTACGTGTTGCCGTTAATTCGCTACAGCTACAGTTCAGGTTACAACGCGCTGTATAACGCAAGCTATAATGGGTGTTTAATCAGGCTCGGTAAACCTTCGATCCTCGGCCGCGAAATCCCTACCGATGAAATACTACCACGACTCTGCGTATCTCATTGGTCGTCGTATGGAGAATTTCTGGGGTCCCCAAGACAGCTCCAGCGAGATTTTTAGCGACGGACTAGAAATTTCCAAGAATTCTTCCAGCTGGCGCGACGCCTCTCGTGCGAACGACTCCACCGTGTAGTGGTAATCCTCCCGCTTGACGTCTCGTATCGTGTGATAAGAAATATTTTGCGTACAGGTTATGTGTGGCTTAATTGCCAGGGAGAGTGTGTTTTGAGAGACGTAGCTGAACATAGCGATAACCGACGAAGCGCGATAGATAACCCGCGAGTCTCCTTCATTTCCTCCGGCGGGACGAGAATCGACGTTTCGCGTTATCTCCGCTTCCCGCTTCAGCTCGATTCCGACTCGCCTCTGCGGCGATGTCAAGCGTGTCCCGGATAAACCGCGGGCCGTGAGAGATATAACCGATTAATAAGAATGGCCGACGAGGCGGCGGTGACACTACGTCTCAATAATAACGAGGACGCCGAGTGCATAGACGCCGAGATCGACGGCGATGACGAGGAGGAGGGCTCCGACGGGGTCATAGTTCCGGAACTTCAGGGTACATTATCCAAATGGACAAATTACATACATGGCTGGCAAACTAGATTTATTGTACTCAAAGATGGTACTTTGTCTTATTACAAATCTGAGCAGGACAGTGGATTCGGATGCCGAGGCTCGATTAGTCTGTATAAAGCCAATATCAAGGTAGGAGACTACCTGTGTCATAGTTCTTACTTTTTGCACTTGACAGATGATTTAAAGGATGATATATTGTAATAAGATGATCAAGATGACGAGCTTATGTTATCTGTTTTCTCAGGCACACGAATTCGACGAATGCAGATTTGATGTGTCTGTGAATGACTGTTTGGTTTGGTATTTAAGGACAAGGAATCCAGAAGAGAAACAGCGATGGGTGGATGTGTTGAAATCTTATAAGGTAATCATTCGAAAACAACGAAAGGCATGTTGAATATATATGTATCAAATATCATTCTTATGTGTTTTCATAAATTTTAGCTACTATATACATATTAAAGTTGAAGTATTAATGATAAAGTTCAATTATATACAATGATAAATTATTAATTTGTTTGTTTTGAGCAGTCAGAATCTGGTTACGGAAGTGAGAACAGTCTCAAACGACATGGTAGTGCCATATCGCTTGTGTCAAATACACAATCGACGACAAGTGCTGGTAGCTTTACAAAGCGCGGCATTAGGGGACTGAAAGAGAAACTAGCTGAGATCGAGACCTTTAGGGACATTCTAATCAAGCAAATCGATACACTGCAGAAGTATTTTGATAATTGTGCAGAAAATGCTAAGAATACTTCCAAGAAAGGTAACATTTATCTTTAAGTTTTCACGTGTCACCTCGTACTTTCGACTTTTGTGCTGGATCAACTATGAATTTATAGTTAAATTTACAGTCAACACATTGCGTACGGCACTCTACTCGCTCAACACGACAATTATATACACATTTATTCACTAATCATTTGTTTCGAGAATGCGCGAGACTTCGTTACCCTGATAACGTAACAAAAAAATCTACTTTTAATTCCTCAAGTCAACGATTAAGTCGAAGAAACCTGAAAACGAGATATCTCATCGCCACAACATTCGGCTTACTAAAAACGAGATTTCTCGTCACCCGTACGCAATGTATTAAAATTACTCTCAAACATATATGTATATGTGAAAATATTCAAAGAAGCTCTAGGATGTTTTACGATTAATTCTCTGTCTTAATAAACTCTAGAAAAGAAAATTGAGACAATGTTCAATCCAGCCGAACAGTCAGTGGATTTTAAAGGAGAAGCGATAACATTTAAAGCCACCAGCGAAGGAGTGTTAGCGACTTTACAGCATTGCGTTGAATTAATGGTACAACGGGAGGATGCTTGGCGCCGTAGATGGGAAAAAGAAGTCGAGAAGAGACGAAAGTTGCAAGAACTTTACAAGGCCCTGAAAGATCAAGTTGCTATGCATCATACTGGCTCACCAAGACCGAGGGTCCTCATCCACGGAGGACCTGACTACGAGGTTGGTCCTCTGTAACTGTGTACTCTCGTTGCCGCAATTTGCACGTGAAGTTTCAATTTTGAGAATTTTAATGTTGCGTGATGTAAGTCCACCTGGATACATAAGGCTCGCAATTATTCATAGATGACGCTTAATTATGCACGCTGCTAAAATTTACTAGAAACAAATATCACAATGGATAGACATAAGTGAAAAGAAAGAAGGAGGTACCCAAGAATTTCACGGGCAAAAGTCTACATAATACGATTGCGAGACTCCTTATACCAATTGATATTCATATGTTATCCGCTTCGACTCGAACTGCTTATGAGCTTATTATCGATTCATTGTATTATATAACACTTTTACAGCAACTTCTTTGCATTTTATGTAACTGTTGAGTTTTTTTTTTTGACATAGCGTTCTTGGCACGAAAAAAAAGGGGAAAATAAAAGGGAAATTTATAAATATATAATTCATACGAAAATATATCATAAATTGGATTTTACGCACAAAATAGCACTGAAGAAAGATTTCACAATGAGGAAGTTTTTGCAATCAAATTGTCTTTTCTCCCGCCGAATTATATCATTCCTCATTGAAAATCTTATCATTGTTGATATTTTTAATAACAGTATTCTTTTATCAGAATTCTGTCTTCTTTATTTCCATGTATATCGCCGAGCGAGTTATTATTTTTCTTGTGAAAATTTTAAAAAATTCAAGCTACTGTTATCGCATATATTAACATGAAGATTGTAATTATTTTTAATCACCTGCTTAAACTTACTTATGTTACAAACACATACACACGCGCACGCACGCACGCACGCACGCACGCACGCACGCACGCACGCACGCACGCACGCACGCACGCACGCACGCACGCACGCACGCACGCACGCACGCACGCACGCACGCACGCACGCACGCACGCACGCACGCACACACACACACAAAATACTTTCTCATAAGCAGATACATGTCTGTATACTTAAAGAGCGAAATGTGTTTCGCAACTATTAATTAGGTCACTGTCTCGGTAATACAGTCTGCTAATATCCTACACGCTAGTACGTTCCAGACGTTCAAAGAGTGTAGACTGCGCGTGTATCTTCTTTATGTGTATCATAAATTTGTGTAGAATAATACGTAATTTTAATACTGTATAAGATGAAATTGAAAATCAAATTTTACAGCGTGAGTTCTGTTGTGTGTATACTAATATAAGTGAAAATGGCAAAGTATAAGCTGTCAATGATACTTAATAGCGCATGAAATTTCTGTTACATCCTGTATAAAGTAATTTATTTATTATGAATTAATATTGTTACGCTCGCGCGGGGAAATAAAACGAGACAACGTTAAAAAGAAAACAACTTCAACTATATTTACTATTTAGAAGGAAGCACACGTAACTCGCAGGCTCAAGTTCTCTCTTTCGTTAAAGACCGTCGCGCACGTCACGACGACTCAACCGCCCCAAAGAGAATCTCTCTAACCCGTTGTTTATCCGTCAACGCTGATCATCTGTTGTTTACGACTCGTTGCCAAGAGAATCAGCTGTATGTTCAGGGCGCTAAAAGCGCGGGCATCAAGACACGGGCGTAACAATATTTAAAAAAAGAGGCAGGTCTATGTTGTATGCAACTTCCTCTAATAACGTTGGAACTTCATTTTCAAGGAAGGTCCACATAGCGCTCTTTGCGACGAGGAATTTTACGATGCCGTGGAAACGGGTTTGGACAAAATCGATGAGGAGAATCAATTGAGGGATCGTTTAAAACAAAAATCTGTCTCGATTCTGACGTCACCTACCACACCAGCGTCTACGCACAGGCTATGGCCAGAGGTTTATTATACTTCTTATATCTCGTAATTTCGTTATTTCGCCACAAAATTACGTTTCCCGTAGAACTTTCATTTTTATCAGTATGTTTCTAAAACGAAATATTGAATTAACATTGTATCGAAAAAGAACTTTATCATTCTCTTCTTTCTGCTGAGACATTAACATTTTATTAGTTAAATTAATACCTAACACGTTTATAATTTAATTTTTAATTACTAACGTTAATTCTTAATTCTTTTATATTTATATGTAACATAAATGATATTAATCATTGATATACGACTCGTGTAACGACAGGGTTGCCACAAAAAATTAATTTTGAAATTCATTGACTTTTCCATGTTTTCCAGACAACAGTGGAAACTTTTTCACGGCCGATAATCTTAAAATTTTTATGTTTAGAAGCAAGGATTGCGGGAAAGATTCAAGTTCAAACTTGCAAACTTTTCCCTGACCAATTTAAATTCCCGTGACTTCCAGGTCTGCGGCAGCCCTGGGTTAGCTTTGAAGCTTCGCTCCTCGATCCTTTTTTTCTTATTACCACATATCGACTTACAGATAGAGAAGATCACGATGGAACAATTGCATTACGCTCGACTGGGTGTTGGTGGGGCGGGCGGTTGGCAGTTATTCGCCGAGGACGGTGACATGCGGATGTACCGGCGGGAAGAGGAGGCTGACGGTTTGGTCGTGGATCCCCTGAAAGCGTGCCACGTCGTCAAAGGGGTCACCGGTCACGAAGTGTGCGAAATATTCTTCAGTCCCGAGTACAGGAGCGGCTGGGAAGCCACGCTCGAGGACATGACGGTCGTCGAGAACATTTCCAAAGATACGTTGCTATTCCTGCAAACGCACAAGCGCATTTGGCCGGCGAGTCAGAGGGACGCGTTGTTCTGGTCGCACATGCGCCACGTATCGGACGATCAAGATCGCGACGCCCAGGATCTGTGGATAGTCTGTAACCATAGTACCGAGCATCCTGATTACCCGGTAAACACACACGCCTTTAATAAACGAAAGAGAATTCTATCTCGTTTCTCAAGGGTGCGCGCGATGTTGCTGAATGAGAATTGTCCGTTCCAGCCGAACGCGGGTAAATGCGTGAGAGTCTACCTGACTGTTTGTCTCGTATGCCAAACGTTCATCGATCCGCCGAAGGACGAGGAGGAGATAAAGAGGGAGAACGTTACGTGTAAAATAACATATTGTTCAGTTGGTAAGTATTGACTTATACGTATATATACCAAGGGACATTGAAAGTGTTCTAATCAGAAGGTCCTATCCGATTGGGCCCAAAGTTAGAGGATATCTCCCTTCTTATATCCCATCTTATATCCCTTCTGTCCTCAGTAATATTCTATCGCACGTTCTATTTTAGACTATCCTATGTAAATCCACGACTGTTTTGCCAATGAACTGGGATCACCTGGTCTTGAGTTTTCTGTCTCTCTCTTATTTTTAGCAAGTTTCAGCCCAATCCAATACGTCTCTTTCTATATGGATCATTTTCAATACTCTCTGTAGAGTATTTTATACTCTCGACGTGAGAAAAAAAACAGCATCTTATAAGGGGGCTCGATAAGAGAGTTGAATCTGCCAAAATCTTTCGCAGTGTATATTACAAATAGTTCAATTTATATAGTTAATTTATTATTATATTAAAAGGGCTCGAATGAACGTCTCTGAACATATTGCGTTTTGAATTTCAGTGAATCCGGGTGGCTGGGCTCCGGCGTCCGTTTTGCGTGCCGTTTACAAGAGGGAGTATCCAAAGTTCCTTAAGCGTTTCACTAATTTTTGTATCGATCAGTGCAAAAGCAAGCCGATCACATTCTGAATGTGATGTTGAAAAAAAAATGAAACTTCAATGTTTTCCATCCAGCTCCTTATTCGCTATTTCAAAGTGTCTTCACATGATTATTGTAAAAAAAAAAAAAACTATTTGTATTGTTACATACTGTAGGAGTACATAGAAGGGCTATTACGACGTAAGTGAAACTGTTTTTGTATATTACCTTTTTTTTTTTATTTGCTTAAGATAATCTACTTATATAGCTTGTGAAATGGGAAGACGAGCTGTTATATTAAAGGCCATTTAAAGGTATATAAAGGTATGAGTGTATATAGCAGTCTTGTACACTCGAAAAGAAAAAAATATGAACAACTCTTTCATGACATAACGAGGCACGCGTGGCTACAGCACCGTTTACAGATTATCCTTTCCTCTTCAAATAACAGCTTGTTATTTGTTATACAGAATGCTATCGCAACCGAGTTGTACAAATCTTTAATAAAAAAAAATTGGATACATATACATTTATCTCTTGTTATATTACATCCAATTAACTGCTGACTTGTATAATACAGATTATATTGTTATTTTTATTTATACATAAAAATGTGTACATTGCTATGCAATATAAAGATCACATGGAAAAAAAAAACATAAAATAAAGACTGTTGTAAATTTATTGTAAAATAATAATCATTTTCATCCTGTCTTCATTTGTTGATCTTTTTTATTCTGCGCGTAATAAGATTTTCTCTCTCTCTCTTCAACCATACGCGCGATTGAGAAAGCGTGAAAAAGACACGTCTTTCTTACGAAATCAATTTATTCCTACCAGTTCGATGAAAATTAAGAAATTACTCTAAATCGTGTATGTACAATGTACAGAATATTCTCCTTCAGATTACCCTCTTAATATCTACATATTATTAACGGGAAAATGTTGACTCTTGAGTGATGTGAGAATTTTTCCTATATATATATCTTCAAGTCTCAAATAACACGTGTGCGCAACTCGATCTTTACGTTTCTCGAGAGAGAAGCATAAATGTTCTTTCTTATGGGTCAGTAGTGTAACGACTTAAAAATAGAAAATAACTATAAAAAAAAAGTATTTGCAGCTGTACACATAATTATATACTTCGTAAGAATTATATATATCAAAATATAAATGCGCTTTTTAGGATTTCTTACATATTATATAAAATAAGAATTATGAAATATATTGATGTATAACTGATAATAACGATAATGATGTGAGATAATGATGATAATGGTTGAAATTAAAAAACCGCCGATCTGTCTGGGAATATAAATAATCATACACATGTATTTATGAAATATAAAATCGAGTCCAAGACATTTTGTTACGACACAAGTACTTCGTGATACATTTGCAAAATCAAAAATTATTCGTAGGACTGTTTTCTTCTTGAGATTTTATATCACTTATAATTGGAAGAGAAAATTGTGTAAATATTTTAACATTCGATATATATATGTATATATATACAGATCCGATTGTTTAATTTCAATCGTTTTAATTAACAACAGGCTAATGACTATATTTTTCTTTACAAGATATCATGAATTTGTATCTTATAACATGTATAACGAGTACGAAATGATGAAAATTTAAATAGAAAATTATGTTAATGCTCTTGCAGTTCATTACTGTATTACTATAATAAAAAGACGGATAGTGTTCTACACTGAAGATCGTTTTTACAATTTCGATTATATTTACATTTCCTAGGAGGAGAGAGTTCGACAAGTACAAAGAACGAGGAATGAGCTTCTCTGGATATCCCGTAACAAAAGGTAAAACTTAATCGATATGTTGAATATATATACCTGAGAACTATATAAATACACATCAAATGTGACATTGTTTCGTGCCTGATCGATGTAATATTTTAATCAATTACAACCAATTAAAATATACAAGACCTCTCAAATTGTACTAAATCAGCGCTTAGTGGTCGAAATCGATGCTGTACTAAAATCATAAATTCTTAACGATGTAACCCTTGATTTTTAAACTATTTAAATCCTCGAAACCAATGAAATCTCCTACCTGTCGTTCTCGAAATCGTATCAATTCGTGTATAAGCGCAAAAAAAAAGATAAAAAACATTAAGAGTATTCAACTATATATTTGATATCCTATGCCTGACGTATTTGAAATTACATCAATCGATTTGCATATAAAAGCAAAAGAGAAAGAAAACATCAGTTTCGTTTAGTATCAAACAGCTAGTGTTTTTTTTTTTTCGAAAACGTCTCGTTTTTTACAATTATACAGTAAATTATCAAACTCTCAGGAATCACTCTTATAGGTATAAAAACCACTTGATTGCCCGTTAAAAACCTGTAACTCACGTTACAATGACTTTCTCTCTATGATTCATAGGAGCCTAATTTCTTTAGTACACTAAGACCTTTCTCCTCGTACTCTTCCCGCGTTATCCACACGGAATCTCGGTCCTTCGTTATCTCGGCTAACACAGCACCTCCCATAAAGACCATATCCTTACGTCGGGGTGAGTCTTCAATTTTTATTTTAAATTTCTGTAACAGTTTATGCATCATCATATGGTACGTCATCGACACACGTATATCCGCTGAGCCTCCGCACAAATGTACAAAAATTCTCTGAAAGTGATATGTACTTACATTCAATTTAGTGGTGTCATTCTTCAATACTCTCTGAAGGTAAAGTTGCTTGATTTCTCGCTCTAGTCTCGACGGAAGCCCGGGATACATTGTACTACCGCCGCTCAGAACGATGTGCTTGTACAGCTCGCTCCTTATGTCTATGTCGGCCGCTTGAATTGTGCTAAATACCAGCTCGGCTATCCCCTGCGCCTCGACGTTGATCAAGTGCGGCTGGAAGAGCGCTTCCGGCGCGGCGAACCTCTCGCCTCCAACTTTTATTACACGCCCGTCGGGAAGCTAGCGGGGGGGAGGGAAGTATTCACAGTGATAAATCGCAGATCCACGATCCTCGACTGAACAACACGCGTGCGTAAATAACGACTCGACTTACGGTATAGGACTCCACCAATACGGTGGTCTCGAGCGCCAGCTTCTCCTCCGTTTCTATGTTATAACCGATGTAACACAGTTTCTCTTTCAACATCCTAACGGTCTCGAAGTCGGCCGAGTGATTGAACGCGTAGCCGCGCAGCAGGAGCAATTTAATGAGATACATCGTGATGTCACGCCCGGCTATGTCTAACCGTCTGGTCAAGTGCGGCAAAGCGTATTCCTCGAACACGGGGCAGATGTGCGTGACACCGTCGCCGGAGTCCACGACAACACCGCTGATCAGTCCTTGAGCGTATAACGTCAGTACCGCTTGGATCGCGATGTACGTTCCGGCGAAACCGTACTTCTCAAACATCACCTGAAATCATTGTGCGGAAACATTGTACTTTCGTCCTTTTCCTTTTCTTTCTTTCGGGTATCGATCGTGATCGTGAACTGTTACCTCGATCATTTTTTCCCTGTTCGTGATAGGATTCATCGGCGGCTCGGTCAACAGAATTTTACATTCCCTGGGATTGATATTCATCTTTTCCTTGCCGAATGTATAGTCCCACACGTGGCACATGTCCTCCCAATTTCTATCGGGCATTAATCAATATTACATAATGACTTGACACATCCGTCCAAATGTACGAGTCTCTCGATATACAAGGTGTACACACCTGACAATTCCATTTTGCATGGGATAACTAATCTCTAACATAGAACGCAGTTTACTCGCTTCATCGCCGACCATTAAGTCCTGCGGCAATAATATACGATTATCAGAAATCTGTGCTTATTACGAAAACACACTATGTGTTTCGATTGTACGGAGGAATATTATCGTTTTAATTGATTGCTATATAATATCCGTACGATATTTTCTAGCATATAGTACAGAAATGCTAAGTGGTCGGACGACACTGACTAGCTAAATATTAAAAATATATATTGAATAAAGCTCTTTCATTACAGGTAATAAAAGTTACACTGGTAATTCTTGGTACATCGACAAATTACGTTCGGGCAAATCCTCCGCCGAAAATTTAAGGCTAAGCGAAATCATCCCCTTTTGTACCAAGAATTATTAGTTATACTCATAATAAATATCACAATTGGTAATAATAGTCACGAAGGAATATCATAATTGTAACGTATGCATGTTACTTTCGTGTCAGGTTACAGATATCACGTCTGGAAGATATTGTACACACTAAATCACAGCTCCCGAGACTGTGTAACCTAAGTACTTTGGAAAAAAGAAGTTTGTTGAATCAGACATTACTATTCCCACCTACGCTCCAAAAAAAAAAAAACAATGCTTTTTCATCAAACACTGATCTATCACAGATATATCAGTATATTAGCGTCAAAAAATACAATAAACTTACAGGCATGTTAAGCACATCCTACGAGAGCAAATGTAAGCACATAAACATATTAGATAATTATAGGAAGAACATAGTAACGTATGTGAGTATCCACGCAAAGTACAAATTGCAAATACACGACAGGTATCACATAGGTAAAGGCGTGAACGCTCTACTTCGTTGAAGCAGATACGACATATTGTGTCAATGAAGAACCTTTGAGATCTTTCGTAAGAGAAACATTACACATACGACACGGTAAGTAGACTTATATCGCGTGACACATAAAATCATCCACTTAATGGTAACATTATAAACTCGAAAGGTTGTTAAGAAACCCAGAATATACAATTAGGTACTATAAATAATATTCATCTTACATTTGGAACCCATATTCCTTTCCGAGATATGTTAGTAAGTCATTAATATATCTCAAACTGTCTTATTTACATCAGTGGTCAAGCGTATAGATTATTATCAATCAGACTTAAGCATCGAGGGGGACAGGAGGGGAGGGCACACGACATAATACTATATAATGGACTTACACGAACGCAATATTCTTGCTGAAAATATAATTGTTCTCATTAATAACCTAAGTAATTCACAATCCTTGCTAAACATACTCAAGCAATTCGACAGACTCAAAGGATTATGTGAACTTAATCTCTTTATCATTCCATATCAGAACTGGTAACTTAGTACTTTCGACAAATATTTGCCTCGTATGATCCTTTACGAACTGAGATCATAGTCGAAATTAAGGGTTTACTTTGCACTTGTGGATACAATTATCACAGGTAACAATCGCTATACATGTTCAGTCTCAGAATAAACTTAAACAACAACCCGGCAATGTTTCGGTAAAATCAAATACAGTCGACAACGGCGGTTTGCATCGAGACAAAATCGCAATTACCGACCTCACGTCTGATTTTACGCGTAGATCAATATGTTTTAAGATATCGAGACGTACCTTCACATCGATGTCGCCGATCTTATTGACAGCTCTGATTATAGGTCGTCCGACTATAGACGGGAATATGTGAGCTGGGAAGTTCGCACCGGCGTAACCGCACTTGACAAACTACAATTAAAAAGTATACAATGCACAATCCGATATGACTGTGTTTGACATATTTCTATTATCGGCCTGAGGAACTTCGTTCGTTCACGGAGACCGCGTCCCTCTCTTTCTCCCTTACCCCCGTGCCATTGTCGCAGACGATGATCTTCCTCCCTTTGCTGTCCATCTCGTTGTTATCCCTCGGAGAATTACTTCGTTCTTTTTAGATCTCTCTCATATCATCACCAGCTCCATCCAAATGACTAATTCCTGCGGATAACAGGGCGTTACCGGTATGAGCTGTTACCCCACTGCACACTCATGTAATTTATCAATGAAGTTACCGTTTTTCTATCACAGATAAGAACCCGTCGCCGAACACACGGTCGTGGAGCGATGCTCAGTGCGGATTGAGAGAGAAAAAAAAAGATCCTGATCGTCGGCGGACGTGAGAATTTGCTCGCACACGGCGGACAGGCGAGCGGACTCCGAGTAAACTCAAACCGACAATTGCCACCATTGCGCGAGAAAAAGCCCTCCCACCGTTTTCGGGCTTATCCGCAACACGGGAATCGCGATCTGGCCAATGACACGCTTGCATTGACAGCAGCTCTCCGCGGCATTAGTGATACCAGAGTGATATCACGGAGTGACACGCGGTGAAGAGAAAATGAGGACGATAAGAGCGGCTAAGAGAAGAACAGACCATATGTTTCGCTCCCGTTCGAGCAGAAAATCGTGACACACAGCCTTATCAATCCTCGTCGTCAAGTCGTAAAAGTGTCCGCTGGCAACACATTTTGTAAACATGCCGATTGCATATCTGACGCGGAAAGAAATAATGTCCTGTTGCCACCGTTTGCACAGGTATGGAATACCGAATCGGAAGATAAATAATGATGCACAGTTATCCCAGATTTTTGACACACAAGCCACCTTTCACCTGTGGATCCTTGACCACTTTGGAGTACATCTTTTCACTTTCCCTAAGGAAGAAATGTAAGATTCAATAAGACTATCGCGTTCATTGCTAAAACACGTCGCAATTATTCTATTTCGAAGTTTGAAATTTTGGAGAAGCCCTTTCTCGATTGTTTACTTTTTTATCAAAAGCCGTCGATTTATAAACATTACCGATAGAGAGGAAACATCCTAAATTGATCAGTGTGGATGAAAGGTGGTAAGTCTGGGATATCCTTTATCGATTCCAGGGGCGAATTTTAATTTCAGGAATTAATTTTTCAGCGAACATCTGAGCGAACAGGACAACAAATTGGTGTACGGAAAATGCAACAATTTTTGGGGACACGGTCACAATTATACAGGTAATTTATTAAAAATAACACTTAGCTTCCACTAAGTGTGTTTTAATTATATTTCTAATATTAAAATTCTCTTAATAACTGAACATTAAAAATTTTTTACACTTTTCTTCAAAATCTTTCGAAAGTTTTCATTAAAATATTATGCTGACGTTGATTTTTAATTATAGTGGAAGTGACTATTCGTGGACCTGTAGATCCAATAACGGGTATGGTTATGAATTTATCAGATTTAAAAGTTTATATGGGAAACGTATTGGGTCATCTGGATCATAAAAATTTAGATAAAGACATAGATTACTTCAAAAACATGGTATCGACGACTGAAAATGTCGCCATTTATATATTTGAAGAGATAAGAAAACATATGCCAAAACCCGAATTATTATATGAAATCAAAGTTCATGAGACCGACAAAAATATTGTGTTTTACAGAGGAGAATAGTTTAACTGTAATTTAACTATATGTACTATGAACTATAGTTATTTATTTAGCATATTTATTACGCTTATATGTTACACAATATACTATTAAATATACGATCGCAAATATCGTAAGCTAACATATACAGTTTTTAACATTCTAATTTTTATTGGAGTTTTATATTGCACAACATGACAAGGAATAATTTTGTATTCAGCGTATTGTTTTTCTTCCCTTTGTAATTGTTACATGTATATAGAGACTAAGGTAACTAATAAGTCCTGAGTATTATTGATTAAGTATATTTTACGATATACATTCCGTATATAGCCAATACGTAAAATATAAAACACTCGATGGTGCATATTATAATTCTCGATAACAATTCACGTTACAGCACATTTATAAAATAGTCCTTTATAAAAAAGTCAACAAGAGAGGGGATACTTATCACAATGATTCTATAAATAATTTACTAATGTATTAACGCGCGTTTATAATCATAAATATTCCCAATCTTTATTCCCGCGCATGTATCAATTTCTCCAACTCGTATGTTGCTTTCAATCTTCACACATATGAGTACAATTCATTATNCTTTCCTCTTCTTCATGCGTTCGCAATAAATATTTTCTACTGTTTAATATCACTAAAGGAAAGAATAATCATCTAATAGATTAAAAGATGCAAATACTAATTAATCAAATTGCTTGTTAATTTTAAATAAAAATTTAATAACACATTCAGAGATTAAAATTTTTATGAAATTCTTATACTAAACTTCCTCCTTCCCCACTTAAGTGTTTGCTGCCATTTAGAATACAAGTTTTTATACATGTATTTTTTCCCGATTTCTCATTGATATAATATGACATTATATTCATGTAATTATAAATTCGTTCTAAAAAAAGAACATAATATTTGAATAAAATAAAGAGAAAAAAGAACATAATACTTGAAAAAATAGAGAATGCTCTAAAAAATTGTCATATTTAAATAATTAACATATAGGTTAAGCATTCTTTTTCATTTTCATATGAGAACTTAAAAAGCCTTAAACTGTAATAAATACAGTCTTAGTAATATCAAAGATTAGGAAAATGCTAACTATATATTTGAATTATTATCTAATTTAACATAACTTCGAATGGTCACGTATGGTATTCCGAGCTCGAAGTCGTCTCTAGGCCAATATCTGAGCATCGGGAATTGATGCGGCTTTTCCTCTTTCACCGAGAAGTAAGCGAACAGCACTGCCGCGGTGTAACTTGCTATGAAAATAAATAAATGCCACAACGCATGGAGATATGGGAAATTCAGATTCAGCCACGTATCACAGAACAAGCGATCGTTCAACCAACAAGTCACCGCCAGTATCCATACAGCGCCGCATCGCAGTCCCAGTCTGTAGACTCTCGTCGAAGTGGTTCTTGAAAAGTTCAACATGCACAATTAGCAAAATTAAGTCTTTAAGAAATACCTCTCCCTCAGATCACGTCTATGATCCATATACGAATATTGGAACAATTTTAACGTATGACAGCAAGAAAAAGGATATTAACCATAAACCTAAGATTATAGAAAGAAAACTAATAATAAGACGGAAATACTTTTTGCTGACCTGAGAGCAAGGTCTTTATTTGTTAGTAGACAATATATTGAGGATGTGTTACCTCCTTAATTCTATGATCATAAATCCAAATGCCGGTATACCCAAACTCATCAGTGCAAAGGCATTTATAGCCGGATGTACTAATGCCAAGCCGGTTGCGATCAACGTCGGGAAAGTCGCACATATAGAAAGGAGCTTTCTGTCGTTATGAAAAATATTTGGAAAATATCTTCTTGGAAAGAACATGCAGAAGCCTGCCATGTACACCCACAGAATAGCTAATTCGTCTAATAGTTGGCCTGTTACAAAATCAATTATATGTTATCATTTTTACAAATAAATTGGAATTATCGTTTTTATAAATAAATAAATTGGACAAATCTTTAATTCTACAAAACAACTTGCATGAAAAAAGCTACTATTTCCAGGATATTAATTAATTAATCAATATATCGATAATTATAAATCTCACCTATCAGCGACAAAGTAGCATGAAAATATGCACTGCTAAGTCCCACTATCATCAATAAGAACCAGATCACATGAATCCCTGGATTTACAAAGCGTCCATAGTCCCTGAATAGGTGCATGAGCACAGGTGGGAGTAGTAGGAAGACCACATTACTAAACTGCAATATTTATCAGGTATAATCATTATCAAAGAAATAAGAGATCTGATATTTACAATACATGCAATATAATTTTACACCTTTTATACCTCGTATCTTTTTAATCTAATTTTATCAAGATTTTAAGCTTATCTCTTTGTTATTGTTTCGATGAGACAAAGAAATGGCATTTCGCTTAGAATTACATGACCTTTGAGATTCGATAAGAAATATTTTTCTGAGATCAGTTGGGATCGCTTTGTCTATAATACTAATATTAGAAAAATATTTCCGTTTAACATTCAAGCATTTACATTGTCATAACGCATAATATGTACGAACCGTGTTCATAAACTCGGCTATGCTTGGTGAAATGCTGTAATTGCCTTCGCACCAATCCACCGGTGAGCTGCCAGGTTCGAACGGCTTCCACATGATGTCGAGATGTTTCTTTGGAGAGAATATTCAACCAGCAAACATCACCCGCTTTATACTCGGCGGAGACAACGAACGCTGCTTCCAAAAACAGGAGCGTACGTGGAACATCAATCAATTACTCCGAAGGAATACAAATGCCACTCTGTCCTTTCAGACTCAGCGTTAAGCACCGAATGTGATCAGCTTTCACGCGACATCACATCTGACAGCTGAGCTGTGTATAGACCATTAAGAGCGAGAGAAAGGGAAATATTTCTTCCTTTTGTTATCTCCGTCCTATGTTCATCCTTTGTTCTCTCTCTCTCTCTCTCTCTCTCTCTATTTTTATAATTCCAATATTTTATTTCGGTTCTCCCTCCCTCCGAAATTTTCAAAGAACGTCGACGACAATGGTATCTCGTGTCGTCTAAATTGACGAACAGCCACGGATAATAATCGTTACGTATGCTACGCTGTCCTCGCGACTAAAGACAAAAAGGGATAATGATATATGATGAGATGGTTGTATCAATGCCTGTGTGATGTATCGCCACCATTCGCTGAACACATGTTCAGCTCGAACAGTCAGATCGCATCTCGACAGATCACTTTCGCTCGTGTTTATAACGACATCAAAATTGACGCGTGCGCCGTATACGCACCGTCATCATTCTTGTTTGCGCACAATAACTGCGCGTCATTTATATACAAGGTGCTCCAAAAGTGGCCTATCTCCAACAATATAGAAGGAGAATGTTAATTCACTATTATTATATATATTATATACTGTGTATTTGCGTGAAATTTTACCAAAAATCTTGTTTATAGGATGTTCGAAACTTTCACGATGTATGCAAAATATGTACACATAGTGCATATATATTCCTGTATGTACAGATTGTTGAAGAAATTTGCCGCCAAATTTTGAGAGCACGTAGTACGCGTCGGAACAAAAAAAGTGTGAATAAAAATGGTCCCCAAAAATCATTTGTTTCGTAGATATCCTACTAATTACGTCAGAAATATTCACCACGCCACAACTAGATCTTGATTTCTAGCTTCAGCCATATTATATGATAATGTCGAGAGTAGTAAAATATGTAAGTTTCTTGTCACGTTTTTTCCTGGTTCAATTCAAATGTAGCTACAGCTTAAAAAAACAGAAATCCTAGTCATAAAATTACTCGATTTCATAAGAATCCATAAGCAAGGAAGCAAAAGCAACAAGTAGATATGTTAAAACATTTTGTTTACGCGAATGTGTTTGCTAAAATATAAAATATCCAGATAGCACGTTTTAGTTTCATATACGTTCTTTAAACGTGCGTAACGTTTCATAGTCGTATATGTTGATTTCTGTTTCTCAAACTGCAGTTACATTTACATTGATGCAGATAAGGAAAAAATGCGATAAGAAACTTGCATATTTGATTTCCTTTGACGTAGGCTTATCATGACGTAGACTGAAGTCAAAAGTCAAGGGCTTGGTATAGTGAATATTTATGATCATTAATAGGATATCTATGAATAAAATTTCGTTTATTAAGGTGACATCAACTTTTGTTCATGTTTTCTTGACCCCGTTAAAAAAATCTTATACTCCAAAACTTTTGGCTATTTTCTCTAAATTGAAATTTAAAGAAAGGGTAATCTGCAAGTAAAACATCTGTATGTAAAAGTAATCTTAGATCGAGATCAATCATGACCGAAAAATTTGGTCAATAACGTCGAAGTTGACATCATTCTGACTGTTCTACTTTCTTTGTGATACCGAGAGGAATTTCTAAAATGTCTACAGACGTTACGTTGAACTTTGAAGACGGAAGACGATTTTCAGAAAATAGTTTATTGCGTCTTTATTCGTATTTGCTTGGTTCGCACCGCCGCGACCGCCATATCGACGTACTCGTTGATAAGCGGTATCACCTGTTCAATTAATGCAATTTCGCCAGGCGAAATTTTCGGCAAGCCGAAATTCCTCTTCACGCCGTTCGTGCCCAGCTGTAACTCGCTGGTAAAATATCGGCAGACCGGCAGGACGTTGGATCGCACGTAGGCGCAAGTGATAACGTTATCGTGTCCGCAAAGACCACCGGCGAGGGCGGTTATTAGCTTCGCAGCGGCCGTTCCGGATGACAACGACCGACGATATCCAGATGAGGTCTTCGTCATTTCCTCGTTCCCGTCCGTCCGAAATGACTGCAACAGGCTCTGACATTGCGCCTGACAAATTACGCGCGCATTATACCGGGTGTCTCAAGGCCACCGGACGATTGCGGTATTTCTCGATAAACTCTTCGGCAAATTTTGTCGTTGAAATCTGAGCCGGATCGGAATCGAGACCGAAACCCGTATGAAAACCAGTATTCTTATCGGACCGTAACCGGACCGTTGATCAGAACCGTAAACCGTACCAAAATTTTATAAAGCTTATAGAACCGGAATCGAGATCGGAACCGTTAAAGTTTTTTCGGTTTACGGCTCTTTCTGGTTCATTATTTTGATTCTTATTCTGTGACTTAAAATAGTCGGCTTTTTCATCTCATAATTGTAATAGAAATTCTAGTTCTCACGAAAAAACAGCACATCGATTGATTATCGCTACAAATAGGAAATAAACTTCAAGCATACGATATTGAACAGAAGTGGATTAATGGAAGAAGTAACATTACAATTTTGGAATGAATAGGAAGACAATCATCCTGAATTGTACAGATTGCCCCAACGAAAGATGTATATTCTAAGAATGTTCGGGTGCCTGGTTGAAATTTTCAGTAGAAATATTCAAGACCTTAAAGATAGTTCGGGACCGTCGAGACCTTCGATTTCAAGTGATAATTCAAGTGATTCGAATTCCTACCGTACAACCGTATGGTACGATCATGAATTTCAAGGTCACGTTCGATTTCAACTCGAAAGACCTCGAAAACTCGGAGAGTTCGCACGTTCATAGACGTGGCGTCTCATCGAGACCATCGGTCCTTTGCTTACATTTGTGAACTGATTGTAGGGAACAACGCGCGACAAGAGAGGCACGACGGTGCGCTCGTCGGCGCCGCCGGCGAGCGGCACCGACAGACTCGCGCGCTCCAACTTCAAGAGGGTCGCCGCCGTATCTTCGATCCGCGCCCCGTACGCGGCCGTGCAGCCGACGATCCTGTCGGCATTCCAGCATCCTGAAGACTTGAACATCTCCGAGATCATCGCGAGCGTGGCGGTGACGGGTCGCGCGAACACCGCTATGAGCGCGCCCGGGCAGAACCGCAACATCTGGTCCGCCATGTGGCGCACGTGGTCGACCGACAATTGAAATTGCTCGCGCGGCGCCGCATCCCTATCGTCGGCGTCGGTCTCGTTCATGAGCGCGACGATGTCCATCTAAACATTCACGACTTTAACTTAACGCGTACACACTCTATAAACGCGTAATATTATTATTATATTTAATATTCAACTCTATGTATGTATATGTAATATATATAATTGTAGTTTTTTATTTAAAATGTATCACAATATCAATTGTTTTATCACCCGAATAAAGTCGAAAGAATTTTGTGTGAAAATAGGTTTTACACTAAAAAAATTATATATAAATATATTTTATGAACTCCGGTAGATCGTTTAAGAGCATGAATACGATTACTAAGAGCAGTACGATTATGTGATAGTTTGTATGTAACAATTGTATGAACGAATAATTTGTTTATTACATCCTCAGATCACTCCTTACTTCCTTGAACGCCTGTTTTGTGTTCTTTTTCCCAAAATAATTGATGCGGGGACCAGTTTCTTGATGAAACGCGTCTGTCATAGTTTCCATTGTTGACGTGGAGCCCTCCGTGTCCACCAGATTTATGCTCTTGACAATTCGATATTGCTTCAATAGCACCGCGGTATAAAGAGGCGTTACTCCGCCACCGACGATGCACACTTTCACACCGGACTTCGTACCGTCGTTGTCCCTCTTCAGATTGCCGCTTTGGTCCTCGGCATTCTCCGCTCCGTCCTTCCGAACGTTCCGATCGTCGATCGGTGGAGTTGTCGAAAATCCGCGATGCAAACAAGCGGGACAGTGTCTGCATTGCCGTGACAACTTGAGAAAATATCTCGGCAACGGAGCCATGATCTTAATATTGCTCTTTTGAATACGAAAGAATATGTTTGACTTGTGACACTTCCTTTTTCGTCTTTATACGATACTTCAAAGGCATTATCGAGAAACACGAATAATTTACGACGGATTTATGCAAAGTAAATAAGTGACGTTCGCGATATGTCAAGACGCACGTGAAGCTGGCACGTGTAAAGTTGTATTTGCGGAAAACGTTCCGTGAACCTTTTTCGTAAAAATATGACTTACAAAGACATTTTTGCATAAAAATCAAGAATTTCGACCACGTGATAAAGCCAAAAACGGTGAGCCCTCAAACTAAGATGCGTTAAAAAAGTTCTTTATTGTTAAAATGAGTATGTGATATTTATAAATAAAAAGAGTATGTCTGTTGTGTTACTTGAAATAAAGCTCATAAGATGAATCGTGAATGATCATGCAGTGAGAAAGAAGACTGCTTGAACGAAAAGTAAAATGGAAACAGCGAGGAAAGAAGAGCGATAGAAAAATAAATTGCAGTCTTTAATACAAGAAGTGAAACAGAAAGGGAGTATGTAAGAGAGAAAGTATGAGTGAGTGAATGAGTGCGTAAGAGAGAGAGAGAGAGAAAGAGAAAGAGAGACAAAAAGAAAAAACACATTTTATAAAAATTATATTTTTTTTTCTCTTATTATGTTTAATTATATTTTATTTAATAAATGTAATATTTTAATTTGATACCTTTTTACATTTTTTACATTTTACTTATTTTACATTATTTTTTATTACCTTACATTTTTACAATTTATTTTACTTTAATTTTTTTTATTTATTTCTCATTTTATATTTCTTGTAACTTATCTCATTGTATTTAAATAAGCTTAGAAAGAAGAAGCCTAGAAGTTTGTAAAATTCCTTAGAAAACTGTAAAGGACAAAACCTTCATCATATGAATGATATATTGAGTTACACAACATTCTATAAAAATAAACGTTCTTCTGCTATTTTAATCTTTAAACTCTACCATTTTTTGTCTATTAATTTAATCCTTCCTCTTTTTCTTGTAAATATACCTAATGAACAGTGAGCGTGTGATGTACATTCGCAATCTCAATTCTTCTAAACATTATAATTACCGGATATGCCGTCCTCGACAGTAACGTCGGACATGTCCGGTAACGAGCACAGGTTCAGCGTCTTTTCATTTGCTAAATGCAAAAGGGAGGCGAATGAGAGCGGCACGCTCAACGCCTCGACGTTGTCTTTCGACAGCAGCCTCGGCAACGTCTTGTAGATGTCGCTGAACTGCTTGGACTCCATCATCTTGTCCGCCTGCTCCTCGTTATCCGCGTTATTCAACCTGAGGCACTTCCACATGGACTTCTTTAGCTGTCGCATGTCGATTTTCTTCGCCTTCGAGCAGTACGCGATGAGTATCTTATTGGCCAGCTTCGGTGCCGCGATCAGATTGTCACCGGTGAAGCCTTGGCTGACGACGATACTCTGAGCCAACGCGTTATTGTCGTCCTCGAAGTTGCACTCGTTCTCGTCCCCATTGTTGTCTCTGCTGTCGTCGTAATCGCCGTTGATCACGTCGGGACAGTATTCCAACGTGTCGTTCGGGTTGTTGTAATCATACCTGTTGCTGTCGAACACGTCCGTGACAGGCATGTTCCTGTCGCCGTTATCCTGCTGCTCGATCCTGCTCAGGTATTGGTGCAGATAGAGCTTGACCATCCGCCTGATGTCGTAATGGAAGTCCTCGGGAAACGTCAGACTCTCGGCGCTCCATTCCGCCTTGGCGGTCTTCGCCTGCAACTTGTTGGACTGACTGGGTGCGAACTTCGTCTTCATCACGTCTTTGTTCCCCTCGTACGGCAGCTCGAACTCCTTCCTCTTCTTCAGCGGCGCCTGCATACACGTACCGATTACCTTGTCGTCCGCGTTCGTCCGCGATTTCGCGAAGTTGTGGAACTTCCAGTGAGACGGCCCGGCCCAGTGCAGGCTCGTCCTCGCCGACATGAACGAGTACTCGGGGATGACGAAGTTCAGCCTGGATGGTTCGGCTGCGTCCACGATATTCTCCGCGCGATTCGCCGCCTTCTGCTGCTGCCGATATTCGTACGTCCCGTCATCCTGTGTCTCGATGTCGAAGTAGTTGATGGTCTTGGATGCTGGATTCGCGTCTTCCTCATCGTGTTGCACAGTGGCGTCAAGATCGAACTGGAAACGGTTGTCGTCGTCGTCGTCGTCGTTTACGCCGTCTTCCTCCACCGCCACCGCCGACGTGTCCGACACTTTTTCGGGCTCGTCCTTGACGGACCAGCCGAGAAACTGGAAATTCGAGTAAGACAGGCAAATCTCCAGGTTGCGGAAGTCTTTGATTGCCGGTATGACGTACTTCGTCGCGTCGACGTTGCACTCTTCCTCCACGACGTCGACGAGCACGTCGTTGTACAGGTGGTGATAGAAGCCGGAGCTCGCGTGATTCGGCAGCATCGCTTGGTACAACATATCGCTGGTGTGCAGATCCCCCTCGCCTATCATCATGGACGGTTTCACGATCTCGATGTTGCCTCTTAACGCCTCCACTGTGCTGCAAATTTTCTGCCTGACTCTCTTCTTCTTTTTCTTCTTCGCTACCTCTGTCGCGTCCTGCGTATTATCCTGCAGCATTTCCCCCGACTGCTGATCCTGTTCCGCGTCTTCTTGCTTGTCCAAACCGCCGACTATCTTGAGTATCTCCGTGTGTACACTGTCCACTCGAAATCCATAAATCTTACTGCTCACGTCCAAGGATGTACTGGCCACTTGCAGATTGGACATATTGTTGTCCTGCTTCTTAATCATGTATGTCATAAAGTCAATCATCTCCAAACTGAATGCATTCTTTACGTTTATCTTGTTCTCAGTGCTCAATTTGATACACTGGTTTATACTCTCAGCCATCTGGGATGCTGGAACGTTCGCTAGGAATGTCAGACCCAAGGAGTGTCTCTTGTTTAATTTAACTGATGGTGTCGTTGGTGACGACATCGACGCTGTACGTGTGAGCATTTCACGTCGACGGGCGATACGTTCTGCCTCATCATCGTTCTCCGACAGAACATTAGGCAGCTGTTTCTGCGCTATAATAGTTTTCCTCCGGAGTGGTGACGAAGAGGCTGGAGATTTATTCAGCGAAGACTCCAGCCACTTGTGCACAGGTTTAGACTTATGAGCCTTCATCTTATTTATGACTTAAAACCTTAAGATATATATATACACATGTGTATGTGTGAAATGCAATATAGTTTGTACGTCTATTCCCAGAAGAACCAACTGTTACACTTCTGAAAGAAATAAGCACATTTTAAGGTTTATAAAATGTCTAAAATTACTGACATTTCATAATGCAATATTTGTCTCAGATAGAATATTGGCATTTCCCCCATTAATAGGTTAGACTTCAACTTCACTTTCATCGTATGTATTCAATTAAATAATATTACGTTATACTTACCGTTCAACGAAATAAAGTTATTTGCTACTTTCTCTAGATCGGCTCTTATCAGCCGAAGTAGTGTATAATATCGTTGCAGCTCATCGTAAGTTTTCTGCAAGATTTCCAAAATTCGCTCGCTATCCTGAGGAAACATCGAACGAGACGTATCTTACACGGCAAATACGTACGATGAAGTTTGGTCGATACTGAAATGAGAATATCACAGATATCCGTTTTATTTATTATATTCTATTACGTGTTAATTATTATCATTACCGTGAATAACAAGAAATACTAACAAAACACCACTAACACCAGTAAAACACATCGTACGTTGTATCAACTGCATTCAAATTTCTTACAACGCGGTTATAACGCCCATGCGTTCCTAAATGTAGCGGGCGGTCTCCGATAGTTCGCATAGATGATTGGCTAATTTAATATAAAATGTTCTAATTGGTGCTCCAGCGGAAAGACTCTAGGCACAGGTCGATGTAAGTGGGTGTGTGCCATCGCATCGTGCACTAACGGGACTTTTCCGATCCTCCTTAATAAATGCGATTGGTCAATTCCAATGGAACATTAACCAAAGAAGCAAGTTAACCGGAAGTGAAACTAGCCCTGAAAAGTAAACATTTTCTATTGGATATCGGATCGTCGTACGTCGAATGCAGTGTGATTAGTCTGGTCTACAATAGGTGTTTTAAGCTTTAAGCCTTAAGAAATTGACCAATTACAATCGACTGTGATTGGTCAATATCTTATGGATTGAGGCTTATTACACCTATTGTGATCGACTTTTGGAAAATGGGTATGATTAGCAGATCTGAAAGTAAACAATTATGTATTTTCTGCGCGTAAAAGTACAGAAAGCGTAACCGAAAAGAACAGCGTGTGTCACGTCATAATATGAAGATTAGCGGCTGTGAATCTTTGAATGTCGTGTAGTTGAAATTTATAGTGACAGAGAAGGTAACTGTTATCCCACCGAAAGTGTGATGATCATCGTTAATTAGCCGCAGAATTAAAAGACATTCTACAAGACGCAAATATACAATTATGTCTAACAATAATATCACTTTGCCAAAAGCCCCGAAAGATCTGTGTTTCTCCGAGCTTGATTTTATACAGGTTTGATATAGTTATCGCTACATTTATTAATTCAGAATAACGTTTAATCATTGTGATTTAATGTACATATATATATAAACTGTTGTTTTATCTATGTTTTGTCGTAGGATAATTTTGATGTTGATACTTTCCTGCAAGATCACAGAAAAAATGGCAAGCTTGAGACAATGCGAGACGATCTTGGCATGTACTTGAAATTATTGAGATCTGCCATGATTGACCTAATTAATAGAGATTATACAGATTTTGTGAACTTGTCTAGTAATTTGATCGGTCTGGATAAAGCTATCAATGATTTGCAGACACCGCTTGGACAGTTAAGGGAAGAAGTTATGGTAAAGCAAAGGAAAATATTAACAAGATATCAGTAACGTTACTTTCTATAGTTCCAATCTTGAATTTTAATGTATAATCTATTTGCTTGTAACATCCAAATTTCTTTTTAATAACAGCAAGTACGACAAGCATTAGATGATGAAATTACAGCTATTTCAACTAATTTAAATGACAATTTGAAGATCAGAGAACGTAAACAGAATTTGCACAGTTTGCAACATGTATACAAATCATTGAAGAAGCTTTCCTCCATTTTATCTATGAAAACATTTATGGAACATCCTACGAAGATCGACATTTTAGAACAGGCAGCAATTGAGCTGAATCAGTTAAAATTTCACATATCCAGATGCAAATCAGACATCTCAGTGGATCAAGGAAAAGTACGTATTTTTATAAAAAAAAATTAGTGTCCAAACCAATCACAATTATACTAAAACAATTGTTTTGTAACAGGAAAGTACGGAATTAGAGAATCTATATCTAACTTGTCTGAACGAGTTATTCTTAGCATGTATACAGGAAAAGAATTCAAATTTGGCAATTCGTTGCCTCAGGATTTATCTTACGCTGGACAAAATATCAAATGCTGAAGAATTAGTAAAGCACGAACTTGTAAGGCCATTGATTTACAATATGATCAATGAGGAGAACCTTCAAACCGATCCGCTTGGTCTGCAAAGTATTTATCATAGGCTACTAAACATTCTGAATGTAGAGATGAAGCAACTACTAGATATTACATTATATTCTGACAGGTATTTACATTATACCTAATTGATTAAACATACCGTAGGTTTTTTATGTACCTGTAAATATATGAAATTAATACAGTTATTTGTTGGTTACAGGATATCCGTAAAAGGATTTAATTTTTTAGTGAACAGTTTTTGGGTTGAAGTCGAGGAAAAGATAGAGCAGTATATAAAGTCTGTTTTTGCTCCTGGAGACCCAGTGTTGTTTCATAAAGTGAGAGTAGAAAATTTTTTTATAAAATATATATTTATACATACATCTAATATAATTTAACACTATGATTATGAATATTAGTATTATATAATAATTAAAAATATATACTTGAGCTGTTGTAATTTCAGAGATATACAGCTACGTTAGAATTTTTAACAAAATTAGAAGTAGAATGTGTCACACCTGAAACCTTAACAGCATTGAGGAGTCATCCGCAGTACAAAAGTTTCCTCAAGAAATGGAATTTACCAGTTTACTTTCAAATTCGATTTCAAGAGATAGCCGGAATCGTGGAGGCGGTATTAGCCGAAATAGTATCGCCGGATTCAGTCAAGGGTAATTTAGCTTCATTGACGCAAAAAGATTTTTCACTTCACGCAACTTGCGTAATTTGGGATAATCTGCTGAGAATTTGGGCTGATGATATCTACTTATACCAATTGTTTCACAGGTAAGCGATCATTCAATAAAATTCTGTCTTCTTGTCATAAAACCAATAACGTTGTTGATGTTACCAACAGGTTCTGGAAACTCAGTCTTCAGATATGCTCGAGATATCAGACCTGGTGTCAGAATGCGATGAAACAAGTACGTTTTTCACGTTTACTTAATTATACCTTGATATTCGCACACAAACTATAAATCTGAAAATAATTTCTATGAGAAACAGTATCTCGCACTACACATCAAATAAAGTATATTTTTTACTCGAAGGTATGGCCTGTCATAAATGAAACTAACAGCTCAAGTGACTCGGAACATTCTACGAGATTGAACTTTCTAGTATATTTGTACACTGATATAGAGAAACTAGTGAATGCGTTACCATCTTTCCTCCAGATGGTACAATCCAAGGTTAAAGATGGGAATGTTACGATATCTAAATTATTAGAAGGTATGCACGACGGATTAAAAGTGTGTAATAACATATTACAAGACATCCTGTTAACATCCTCGCTGATGATTTCCGTTTTCAGATTCTCTGAGCGAGACGTCTAAAAATCTAGCGAATTTCTTACCGTCGGTTACGAGGGAAATTGTGAACGAGCTCTCAGAGCAATGCGTAACTCACTTGAAGCAAGTCAGCGACATTCCCAGATTATTTAGAAGGACAAAACGAGATGTACCGACTAAACCTTGTCCATATGTAAAAAGCGCAATGATTCCTCTCACCAACTTCCACGTGGATTACAACAAGATCATTCCAGAGACCGTTGCCCTCTGGTTAGAATTAACGTTATCGTCACTGACGGAAAGGTGATTAAACAAAAGAAAAAAAAATGTTAAACAAAGCGCTTTAACCCAGAGATATATACTTATACTATATACATTGGATTTTTATTTTAGTTATTTGCTGTTCGTTACGGACGTATTAACGTCCGTACAAAAAACTGAAGAGAGCCTAAGGAGATTGAAGAAGATTCGCGACAAAACTACCGGCATCCTTCCTTCGGAGCCTCAAGGAACCAGCGACGACGAAAAGATACGTATTCAGCTCAAAGTCGACGTGGACGGTTACGCAAATATGGTAAATAGAAGCTATATATAAATATGTATCAAGCGAGTGAAATATGTATGTGTTTCCATAATTGCTCGTGCTTTCAGATCAAAGATCTTAACATGTCCGTCAGCAATATACATCATCTGCAGGACCTGATAGACGCTATAGAAGCAGCTATGAAGAAATGATAATTCTCAGTTGTATTACAAGAGATGTGATTCAACGATGGCTTAATAATAATGACGCCAATATTGTGTCAATTATTGCGACGTTGATATGTTAACCTGGACGAGTTACGACATGTCCAGACTTTACTTACAGTTAGACATGTGAGAATTTATTTTGAAATGTACATACTTCTCCAATATATTATATGATGTATATAAGGATCTTTATATAATTTGTATCGTCCTCGTTAATCGTATATCATCCGTAAAAATTACGTACGTCATAATATACGCTGTCATCACGAAGTTACTCGCGATTAAATATTTAAGAAGGAAAAAGGATGTTGATTAAAGCTGACCGCACAATTATGTATTCATCTCTGTATGTACACGTGTAATTTTGTTTTATAAAATTTAATAGATTTCTCTATTTTCATACACAAAATACGCAAAATACAGAATGTTTGTATAGTAAGTTTTAATAAGAACCACTTAGAAATCAGAGTCATTTTGCCGTAAATCGACCGTGTAAGTTGCATCATTATGAGGATAACAAGGATCCCACCAATCTAAGATACGGTAACCAGTAACATCGCTGAGTGTTACTTCATCCGTTAGCGTACTAGGGATAACGGATGTTCCGAATTTAAGTAGAAGCCGGTATTTTCTATAACCGGGCATTAAGCTCATAGATACTGTTTGCAAGATAAGTCCGATTACTGGCGGTAACAAGCAATATTTTGAGCAAGTTACCTGTAAATTAAAATTACAATATGTTCAGTCTTTTATTCTTCCTCACTCCCCCAATATGTATGTGTGTGTGTGATTTGCATTATGAATAAATGTTATATCACGTACTCGAAGCACTTTACAGCCATCCTCAGGATTAACAGCCACATTTTCCAACATTTCGATCAATTCAGTCTCTTCAATGTCACATGTTTTTCTCTTCATTAACATACTATTACGAGCTTTAGAAATTTGCTTTAACTTGAAAAAGAAATACCATCGAATTTTTCCGTTCTAAAATATATCGCGTTATTAAACATTGTCACACAGTGTAAAAAAAAGGACTATAAATTCTAAATAACTACTAATGGATATACAACAGAATATCCACAGGTTTGTGAGCCAAGAACTTCATTATAATCAAAGTATAAATAAAACTTAAAAACTTACTTTATGCCACATATGAGTACATTTCCTTCTCTCGAGAGAATGTGGTTCTTCTTGTCTTAAACAACTTACATCGTCTATTTCACATCGCAATAATGAAGTAAAATAAGTATAATGTAATGCTCTGATAACGCAAGCTCTTAATCCATGTTGACGCATCATACATTCTGGCTGCAAGCGATCGGGTAAGTCTGATACATGTTTGTGATACCTGAAATTGTAGATCTTATTAAGAATTGCAGATATTCTTTAAATCATAATATTACGAAATGATACGACATACGTTTTGTACAAATGAAACCAGAATTTTGCAGTGGTGGTCACATAATGAGAACTTTTGCAGATCCTCGCGAATTTTCCTACAGTTTCAGGCGGTATGTACTCGGAAATTACAAACCATATGTCCAACGGCCAATCAATGCCTTCTGTAAAACAAAACAATCCATCACAACATCTGTATTTAGGCTGAAAATAAATTATTCAAAATTTTAGAGTTTTTTTTATATATATTACAGCTTCACATCTTACCTTCTTCTTTAGTATCCTCCTGATTGAATAATTTAAATTTTCTTCTGCCTTTTCTTATACTAGTAAGAGGTGCTACTAAGAAGAAAACTATTATTATATACGAAAAACTCTGCACAATATTTATTTACTTGTTGCATAAAGTTCATTACTTACCTTTATCACTGTCTTTTTTCATGTTATCTTGTAACAAACTTTCTTCATGCCATGTAGTTTTCTCTTCTTTCATCGTTGCTCCCTGTTTAACTAGACAAAATTTAAGCCACAAATTACAGCCACTATATTAATCTAAGAACTAAGGAAATTCATGATATATAGTGGAAGAAAATATGTTTGATCTCGATATGGATACTTTTCTCGATACAGTTTGGAACACAGCTGATATCTAGTAAAAGAATATTCTGATAATGATTTAAAAACAAATTTTATTATAAGACATCAGCTGCATTTTAAACTGCATTGTGAAAGAAACGTGCAAACGATATTAAAGTTGAATACATAGCATAAATTGTTCACGAATGATTTTCTAACCTTTACTGGAGACATTTGTGGCTGCCTTTTTTAGCCTTGCGTGAATTTGTAAGGTATTAGCAAAATCATCAACAGTCACATCTGTTGACAAGCAACATAATTATAAGACTATTACTTACGATCATCGTATACGACACAGTGTAAAATTTAACCTATCTATGAGACAAATCCTTGAATTCTTAACGATATCCAATGAGCTCTTCTCTTCGAGAAAATCAGATCATCTCATTGGATGGATATCGCTTATCACACATCGCATTCAGTATACAAAGTGTCATCATATCGTGAAAAAAAAGATATGGTACAAAGCAATTACGAGAGAGCAATATTGAGAGTTCGTGTGGCATACGTAGTGAAAAATCAGTTCTAAATTAGGCTAATTTTGCACCGTGTGACGGTACGAAAACTAGAATTTACAAATAAGTATGTGAATGACACTTAACCTCCCACCAGATTGTCAGTCCTTTTCGCTTCGGCAGCCTTTCTGTTCGCTTTCTTCCGCAGACTAGGCATCGTGCATTATGCGCGATAACGGCGTTTAGCGTATTAATTAGTCAGGTACGTGTTACGTGAAGATAAAAAAGATTCACGATATATACAGGTATGTACAGTAATAATGCCGGTGATGGACTCCCATGGTTATCGACGAAGACATTGGCATACAACTGACACGATCGTCGTTGGTCTCCTCGCTCGTTCGCCGCAATTCTCATAACCGCAGTCGACAAGTACCATCAGAATGTGGAAAAATCGCGATAAGAGGCGTCACATCATATCACGACTATCAGGAAAGATCATGGCACATGCGATCGTGTCAGATGAGGAGAACGAATACTACCACGCAGCACCTTCGATGTTTCGATCTCGGTTCACTACACATACGCATCGAACATTATTTAAGGTCTATCCAGACGAACTTGCACTGTCGCATAAGTGTCGGTTCACAATAGGTACTTTAAGCTTTAAGCCTTAAGAAATTGACCAATCACAATCGAATTATAGAAGAATAATCAATTATGATTGGTCAATTTTTTAAGTCTTAAGACTTGATACCGGCTACAATATCTATTGTAGACCGGCACTAATGTAGAAGAAGCAGAAGTGCGGAAAGTTTGCCTAGAAAATAACAAACCTAAGATAAGGTTATGTTGTTTTAGGTTAGGTACAGGATACGACGATTCAAGCAGGTGGTTTCTTAGAATTCTGGAAAGTTAGCGTTTCGATCGATACGTTGATTCTAATTTAAACGATATAGAAACTTAAATATCGCGATGAACACTATTTCGACGGAACAAGAAAGGATAATCTTTAACTTTTTAAAGTCACGAAGCTGCTGCTTAAGATGTTGTTTACGTTTCATTGGATGCCGAGTGCCAAGTTGTTACATCAAGCCTTTTGAATTTGCAACGCGGGTACGTATGTTTGTAATTTACGGCGGTAAACAATGTCAATAATAATCTTAATCTCGGCATAGATGGGTTATATCGAGACAGGAGACAATTCCTTTTCGGATGAAGCGCCTTGTGTCATGTGTTTGGGAATCCTTCAAGATAAAGCACAAGAAAGTGTCGTTGCAAAGGTATGTTGAACATTCGCAATATACATGTACGCATTTATATATATCTTATTTGATTTTACATTAATAGAGTATCTAATGTTCCTTAATTTCTCATATAGATAACAGACAAAGTTAAGCAAAAAGATTTTGATTGTACAACTTTCACTTGCGCGCTGACTGTTCCTATATCAGTGAAGCTCAGAGAATATATAATATATGCTTATATATCCAAAGAAATCAATATCAGCGAGTCTGCTGTAAGTTCTCTGAGAGGAAAGTTACATAATATCAAGGATACTTGGAAATTGTTTATAACACCACAACTTGAACAGACAATGGGAAAACGTACAGATCTGTCGACACCGTCGCCCTTTCTCATTGAAACCTTCTTAGTTTACGATGACGATGAGATTATATTTGAAAAATTGCAAGTATTATTTAAGTATTTGTACCATTTGAAAATGATATGTAGCTAATAATGAAAAAGGATGTTTTTGGCAGCATTGAACTACATTCTGCGTCAAGGTCGAAAAATATTAACGCCTAGACACATCTTTAACTCTGGACATTCATAATTGTTTTGGCCTTTAAACGTGAATTTTGAAACTTTTAATATAGAATGTAATGCACATATTTTACATAGAAGGTTGAGCATTCGTATTTAAAGGCCTAAACAATAAGAAAGTCCAGGGCTAAATGCGTGCCCAGGCATTGGTATTTTCACCTTAAGTGTTTCTGAGGGAAATCTCATTTGTTCGTCCCATTTTTATTTTCAGAATAAAGAAATACAAGGATGATAAGAATAAGCGAAAGAGAAAGCACAATGCTAATACATTTAGTAGAAAAAGTCTCGAAACTCTGTTGACCGAGACTACGGACGATCAACTTTTGCAGCACTTCACGATTTCGCAGATTGCGCCGGAAAAATTCGTTCGCGCGGACAACGTTCTGTGTTCTCACAGCAGTATTTTCGTAGGAGGTATCGATGCGACTTGAGTACTTGAGCTTATCATATGCGTTCGGAAAACACAACGGTTGAGTGATTCGTCAAATGCATAATTGGTCCAAATTCATGGATCTAACAGTAAAGACCAATAATCGTGGACTGCTCACTGCTCATCGCTTGTGTTTTCTTAACGCATTGTGTCGTTTACAAGCGTTGCAATACGATTCTTACGTAGCTTCAACAATTTCAGGGCGTTACAACAAACTCTCGCGAGAGCTCAGCCAAACTCCCTGGTTTGTGAACGGCGAGAAGAAGGTGGAGACTTCAGTGCAAGACTTGCTGTGCAACCCTGTCGCAGAGGCCGTAAAAGCGGAATGTATGTTTCGGTTCACTTCTACTCATCACCGTACACGTTTTTATCTTCAAGAAAGCTATAGAAATTTTTGCACTCACGCAGCCATAAGATTTCTCGCGGCTGGAAGGGAAGACGTCGATGTTCGGAACCTGCACAATGGCCGGCCGTTCGCGGTCGAGCTGCTGAATCCTCGCATGACGAACATCACGAGCGAGCTCCTGGCGCATCTGGCTGCCAATATCAATCGGTCGACCAAGCAGGTTCAAGTGACGTCAGGATTAAAAGTTCTGTCTAGGTATGTTTACAAAATAATTCGATCGAATAACCGACTGGAACCGAAATAACGGCTCACAGAGACGTAAGTGGAACGATCGGAACGATTAATCGACGATCGAAAGAAATTATTTCGGGAAATCTAACGAAGGATGGTCGTACCTGAAACGTACGCGTGTGCACATTTCAGACTCGACTTGTATAGACTCAAAGAAGGCGAGGACGTCAAGACGAAGTTTTATCGGGCGCTATGCGTCTGCCGAGGCGAACCGGGCGACGGTTTGCCGCAGGTGGAGAATCTGAATAAATTGAAGAACATCGAGATCGTTCAGAAAACGCCGGTGAGAGTATTGCATAGACGGCCCTGGATCCCGCGTACGCGCATCGTTTACGAGATGCGTGCACGGTGGGCGAAGCCCGAAGAGCTGACGAAGTTGCTGCGCACCGCCGCCGAGAGCGCCGACCGATTCTTCGTTCTAGACGTCAAGACGCAAGCGGGCACATACGTGAAGGAATTCGTACACGGTGATTTCGGCAGGACCAAGCCGAGCCTGTGCGACTTTCTCAACACCGAAGTTGATATCGTCGCGTTAGACGTAACAGGAATTAATCTGAATTGGCCATAATATATTTAATATCTTTATATTTTACATATCGTCTATATCGCCAAATTGTAATAAAATCATCAAGGAGAAAAGTTCGTCTTACACATAAAAAAAAAACTAACAAGAAATATCCTTTTTCTTAATTTAAACATTCGGTCAAGGCGAGTCCTTGTGCTGTAAGATCCAGGAGTGTCTCTTAACGGCGGCCAGAGAGATTCGTTCCGAGCTCTTTCTCTTGATCAGCTGTGCAAACACGCGGATCAATCATGAGTGTTCTCTCGTCAATGAGTATCCTAAGTATTCCGAGTGTTACCTTGGAAATAAGATCTTTAGCTCCGGGTGTGATCTGTTCCGGCCACTGCATATTTATGGTTTTTATCTTAGAGTACGTCTCCTGTTGAGAGGAGCTCAAGAAAGGTGGCTGCCCCGTCAGAAACTCGTAACAGAGAATACCCAGGCACCAGTGATCGACGTAGACGTCGTACGTCTGTCCCGTTAGCATTTCCGGTGGCAAATAATCCAGTGTCCCGCATAATGTGTTCCGCCTGAGAAAATCATATGCTGATATTAGTTTCGGTTCTTGAAGTTCCCAGTCAAGTTTCTCAGTAACATTAAGGGTAAACAATTCCCGTAAGAATAATTACATTATGAAACAGGGTATCAACTGTCAAACGATAGCAACGTGTATCTCTCGTCCTTACTTTGAAGATGGTGCGTGCACGGACCAACCGAAGTCTGCAAGCTTTACATCGCCGTTATATGTAAGCAATAGATTCTCAGGCTTTATATCTCGGTGAATCACATTGTTCCTGTGGCAGTATTCCAAAGCGTCGGCTACTTGATAAGTGTATTTAGCAGATCTGGAAATATATTTAAATAAATAATTTTTATATATCACATGTAGTAATATGAGAATAAAATTATAGAAACACGTACAAGTGTTCGTTGAATCTCTCGTTTGGCTGACGCTTCAGCTCTTTGTACAGCTCTCCTCTCGCGGCGAACTCCAAAACCAGGTAGATTCTCTTCTTGTCGTGGAAATATGTTAGAAGCTGAAGAATATGCGGGTGTCTATAAACAAACATTTGTCTATAATAAAACATTTGTCTGAGAATTTTGAGTGCACGCCGCGAAACTTAGCGTACGTACCTCAAATGTGTCTGAATCTCAATTTCTCGCATCACTTGCTTCTCCACACGCCCTTTTATCAACTCAACTTTGTACAGTGTTTTCAAGGCTACCATATACTGAGTAGTCTTCTCTCTGGCTAGATATACACGGCCAAATTTTCCTCTCCCTAAAGGTGATCCAACTTCAAAATCATCCAAGCTCCACTGATACCTATGTAACAAGAGGAAGGAAATATATGAACTTTTAAAGGAACACTTGTTCAACAAAGAATATCATATTTCTTAAATTTTCTACTTCTACGATTCCTCAAACCCACAATAAATCTGTAACGGTATAAATAAGATTACTCATTTGTATTATCAACTTGTCAAAAATTACTTCGTACTCTAAAGACCTAAGCGTAAATAAAGGTATTCCTTGAACTCTCGACTTCGAGAGAAGTAACCTTCTACAGTTACAGGGTGCATAATAAACGTAACATATTTATGTACCTTGGGCCTCTGTTGTTGATATGTTCCATCATTTTATAAATTGTGTCATGAATAGCTTCTTTGTGGTCATGAGATGACACTGGTGGCAATGTCGATGGTATTTTGAACACTTGTCCACTGGCCATTATCAATAATATACTAACCAATATCTATATATATAACTAGAAGGAAAACATATGACATGATATATTAATAATATAATTATATCTATTTATCTTCAATCAATCACACATGTATATAACTCAATATTCAATGTTCATTATTGGTACATTAATCACACATGTATACAACTCATATATTCAATGTTCATTATTGTTACATTGATCACGAATCTTTCAAGATATTGTATTATTCTATCATTATATACTCACTTTTTCAGTCGATTTATGTACAAAAATGTATATTTAATCTTAAAACGTGACAAAACGTTAACAGATTCCAGCAGAATTCTATCACTCTCTCACAGTATCACCTCACGATGTTTCACGGAGTTTAATGGAACTCGTCGGTAACCGACGTTTCTTTGTTTGAATTCACGAACGTTATTCGCTAACGACATCTATGTGCAGGCTATTGGCTAAACTGCGGTCATTGGATACTCAGCTGATCGATTGTTATTATTGATCCGATTAGCGGATACTTTGAAATGCACCAATCCAAATAAGATAATTTTTTTAGCAAAAATATGACTAATATTAACAATAATAACTTAGACAACTGAATCGGGAACTGATCAAAAAACATTCTCAAATAGCTGCAAATCGATGTAAGGTCATTCTGCTCCATGACAACACCAGACCCCGTTGCTAAAGAGTCCAAGGAAGCGCTGTTGGAATGGGAAGTCCTTCCATATCCACCTTACTCACCAGGCATTGTCTCTTCTAATTACCACTTATTTAGATCAATGCAACGCGCATTGCCACTTCTCCAACACCATGTACGAAAATGAATGGATGATTGGATCAAAAGATGACGAATTCTTTCAATGTAATATTATGCTGCCTGAAAGGTGGGCAAAGGTGATAGAAAACGATGGCAAATACTTTGACTAACCATACATTGTACCATTGATTTTATTTTAATAAAGAAACATTGTCAAAAATGCGCGGAAACTTTCCCTACACCCTCTAATATATTATTCGCTATATAATAAGGTCCTTACATAGCCCTCTAAACACATTTGTTATGTCAGAAAATTTAATCGCTATTTTTATATATATATATATATATCCTTTATTTCTTAATGGAATGCAGAATAAATACTAATATATCAGCAGATTATACATTCAAACGTTACAATGAAATTTAACTCATCGACGACATTTATTTAGCTGTCAACAATATCGGATACGAAGCGCGAGAAAGTTAAAAGCATATTATGTACAAACGAATAAATTAAGGCTTCACACAAAAGACGCGGGAATCAGTTCCGTCGTGATCATGTACGCGTGTATCCTACCTGATAGGTATCTCCTCTGCCTATAAAATCAACAGTACACCCGAATATACAAACACGTAACAACACAAACGTCTTCGTCGCACATCGTCCAAATATGCCAAGTATGCGTGCGTATCGACGTGAAGGAATTTCTCGCTAACAATCTTCGCGATAATTGATCGTGCGAGCGTGCCGACAGCACGAAAGATAAGCGATGCTACTTCAGCCTCTGTGTGTTGCGTAATAGTAACTCGTGTTCACGATTACCGATTAATAAATGAAGCGGTACAACAGATACTGAACAGAGACCCACCCCATTGTAAGTCCCGGTCCTACAATAGACGCTTTAAGCTCTGAGTCTTGAAAAATATTCATCACAATCACGGTCGAATTATAATAGGAGAAAAATCAATCGATGACTGGTCAATACCTTAAATTTACGCCTTGAATTCTCAATGTAGGCCCCGCTTAAGGAATACAAAGTACAGACGGAAGAAAAGCGCATGATTAATCGACGTCGCGCACTTATGCAGAGTACAGTGAAACAAAACTGTGTTGCGGTGTGCATGCGGTGTATTCGCCGCCCTCTCCTTGTTATTTACAAGCGTGCTCTCGCTCTTATTACACGCACGAATCACACGGTGGCTCTCTACATAAATAATAATAATTGCGAACGCATCGACACCTGTGTGTGTGTGTGTGAGTGTGTATGTGTGTGACAAATCCTGCATGTGAATATCGCACAGATAAATGTTAGACGCAATCACAAACGTAACTTAAAACTGAAAGCATGCGTTAACAACAGCGAACTGAACGAAACAAACAAATCAGGCGTACGTAATCGTCACGTTACAGATGCGTACGTGATGGATGGTGCTACGTGAGAAATACGCAATAATTCAAAACATACACGCGCTTATCACATAGGCGTCTTTACATTGCTATACAAAGATCTCGTACTGCCTCTCTCTCTCTCTCTCTCTCTGTCGGAGAAACAATATACACACTATGCGTAGAGTCTGAAATTTCTTTTTATTATTATGTCCCTTTTTTTCCTCATTTTCAATAAGTATACATATGCTTACGCGCTAGTGCGTGGTTCATTATTCGCGTGCATGCAAATAGTTTCCTTTCTACTCCTAGGTTTTTAACAGCGGAATTTTATTATTTATTTCGTGCGTATATCCTCGAGATATATCGATACCGGTGTACACTTGCTTTTATATAAAATGCAAAGTTCTCTCGATACGGCCGTCGTTAAACCAATGTGTCGGACATTATAAGTCTGCTCTAAATTAACTCTCTATGCTCGTGCGATCTTGCAACACTGCTACGATAATAATATACGTAAGAAATTTTCCGTGACGTTATCGACGTTTTTCGCACATTTTTTTCTCCCCTTTATGACTATCGGAGTGAGAATAAATGAGGAGATTTGACGACGAGTCGTAAATTACCGCTTAAGTAAGTGTTAGCGCCGACTTTACAATTAATACGTCTTGAGAAAAAGAATTACAGTAGTAATGAGGTAACACAGACAGAATGTAGAAAAATGTGTTTGTGTGTGTGTATGCCCAATCGATATCACGGTATATTCCGACTATATAAATGCACCTCACCATCATGTCCCCTCTGTTTTACCTTTTCTTTCGTACGCGGTTGACACTTTGCAAGAGTACACTTATCCATAGGCGATGAGTATTAACGATTAGATATGGCGCTATGTTATTGCAGAAAACATTGTTGAACGGCTATACTGATCGTGTATCTTTAGTTCAATATTAGGAAGAAATACGTGTTGTGTCATTGTGTACTAATAGCCGTTAATTTAAGCTACAAATTAGAATCAGCAGCCGCAATTCAAACCGAACACGAAAAGACCGGAAAGATGGGAAAGAGAACGGATACGAATAAAGAAACCGAAATCGAAATGTACCAATTAAATATACACTACACACGTTTGCATTTGATACTCTGGCAGTGCAAGGATGACAAATGATGACGTTGCATTTCATTTCCTCCGCCGTAAAAAGTTCGAAAATAAATGGGACTGTTATAACAATCACGCTCTTACACAGAGACACGAAATAAAGCTATTTTCTTAATAAATGTAGATTATATACATATACAAACAAATAACAGTTAATATCTGCTCCTTACTATCGTGAGTAGAAAAGAAAAATATATACATATATGTATATATAAGTGGAAAATTTTTTTATTGTAAAATGATTCGAAGACACGCCCAAAAAGAAAATAATTAAAAATCTATAAATTTAATATGCCGTTCGTAGCTGAATTCTCTGCGATTTAAGTTCTTTTCGAACCTAAGGTCTAATAATCACGATTAAGTTAATTCATAAGAGAATATTAATTCGAGGAGAATTAGATATATAGTACGAATCCTGAGCTATTATTTTACAATTAAAAACAACAACACGCGATGATACTCGCCGAGGTATCCAACAATAAGGCTGCGTATTTTAAGTTAAAAAAAAAGAAAGAAATAACTATGAAAATCTCGATGTTCGAAATAATTACATCGCACATATTGTGATCCTTCACGATTTTGCGGATACTTAAGAATTTAAAAGATGTACAAGACAAAGATAATGGAGAATAGTTGAGAGTATATGATGGGGCAACGTGAGCAATTATATCCGGATATAAAAATGGAGTTATTTGATCATTTCCACGGAAAGCAAGGCTTGATTTAAAAATGAATATACGTGGAGTTGGAGTAATAATAATGTCGTTGCCAGAAAATAGCACGGATAAGGAACAACTGATCAGCGTAGATCCGGATTATCGTTAACTTGTTTTTTTATACGTAATAATACTGTTGTATACCATTGATCCAATCTTGAGATTGAATCGTACTCTTTCACCGCCTCTGTGAAGCCTTCGAGGTTTTGCTCCTCCAAGTGTTCTATCAGTGTCTGAAAATGCCCAATGTTCACGGATTATTGAGCAGCACGTAAAGAAAATCAACGAGGTATAGAAAAGTGATAAAGTACCATTATCAGTTTATATTCTCTAGAATCCTGGAAAGCAGGATATTGCTCCTGATAACGCTCGATAGCATGCTGGGCATTTAACGCATCTATACACAAGTGGCATAATGCAGCACGGAAGAAGTATTCCTTGGCGCTGTACTTTAACAGGGAACTCTCTAAAGATGCGGTAGCGACCTATATAAATCAATCAATGTTATAATTAAATTTGCAAGAATACAAACTACAAGATGTCTTCCCTTTTTTTTTTCAACACAACCGAGTTACATCTTGCAGCAATTTGCTACCGCTATAAATATATTCTTCTTGTTACCTGCTCATAAATCTGAATGGCTTTATCGTAATTTTCAAGTTGCGCGGCGTATTGTGCAACCTTTAGAAGACACTTGTTCGCGGAAGAATTGCTCTCTTCACCGCGGAAATAATCTGCCGCTTGTTCGTAATGATGTACCGCACGTTCCAAGTCGACCGCCTCACTTTCATAGATCTCGGCTATACTCTGATGGTGTTTAGCTGCCATTGTAAAACGGCCCATGTCGGTGTAAATCTCAATAGCTTTTAACAAGCAACTGATCGCCTCTATAAAAATATATACAGAACAATATCACAGATTGTGTCTTATAGTTAAATCAAGAAATAATCGATACTTTAATCCAAGATCGCGTCTACAAATTATCGTTACCATTCGTATCGGATTTCTTAAAGCAATTGGCCGCGTCTACGTAATTGTTGGCTGCGTCATGACGACTACCCGCCTTGGCATGTAAATCTGCCGCGTCGTAGAACGCCTTCCCTGCCGAACTCCACTTCTTTGCCATCTTGAACATATTTGCTGCCCGTTGGTAACATTCCACCGCTTCTTCGACCTTTGACGAACTTCTGCAAGGTCAACCATTGGCTCATTAATTTACTAATGTAACAGACAACAACGTTAATAAGGCGGGATTTGCCACATGTCGACAAAGTATAGCTATTGATGAGACGACAAGTTCGAAAATATACGAAGCTGATCGAAACTTGGCCATCCGTGAGAGAATCCGTGCGAGCAATTAGAATCACCGAAGAGACAGCGTGAATAATTGTAAAATCTCGCGGCACATCGAGAATCTCAGTGCTCGCATGTGCTAAACAACAATACTGTCTTTGCAGATGTAACATGCATGTGACATATATCCGCACATATTTCGCACACATACGAACGACTGAGCGATCGTATCAAACGCAGAAAGGTAAGTCGTAATACGGTCGGAACAAGGAGCCCGGGGGGCGAGAGTCCTCCCAAGGATCCACGAACAAATACGAGCGAGCCAGCGAAGCGAGAATGCGGAGCGAAACGCGAGTGATTTTATCCAGCGAGATGCGGGCGAGTTCAAGTGACGACAAATCGATGACTACTGTCAGCTCACCCAAACAGAGCGCCGAAGAAGCTCCTCGACGATGACAGCTTCCTTTCGGCCTCCGCCACTAGTTGTAACGCTTTCTGCTCGTTGTCGGCCATGATGATCGTCCGCAGCAATTGTTTCCCCGTGGAATTTTTCAGGCGTCCCGATTCATTAACTCTACTCGATAACTTCCAACCCCCGTCGACCCCCGTGTGCACTGACGCGACGTCACGTCACTAGACTTTCCAAACGGCGATGAATCGCGAGGAATGCATTGAGTGCATCATTGTTATCAGGGCCACCAACCTGTCGTCAAAAAATCTTATTCAGGATTCACTGCTTACAGTACCCGGTGTACGCCGATCTGAAAGTCGATCGCGTATGTCCAAATTTGCAATAGGTGTGGTGAGTTTTGTACCGTAAGAAATTGATCAATTACGAGTCGAATGAGAGAAGAATGATTAATTGTGATTAATCACTTTCTTACGACTTAATGCTTGTGTCACACTGCGGATTAGGGTTGAGATTGGGTCAAAATTTGACGAATCAGAACAAAATTCACTAAATTCATGTTTAGTTAAAGCGGGGTCTACAATAAGAATTTAAGGCTTAAGAAGTAGTAAGACTTGAGAAATTGACCAATCACAGTCGAATTGTAAGAGAAAAATCAATTATGATTGGCCAATTTCTTAAATCTTATATCTTAAATTCTCATTGTAGATCCCGCTTAAACGTGATCTAACGGGTAGTAGGAGGACGTTTATATGAAGTAAGAGTAAGAAATTAATCAATCATAGTCTATTATCTTCTCCTTATATTCGAATATAATTAGTCAATTTTTTATTCTTCTTATGAACGTAGTCCTATTGCCCATTGTAGACTACTTTTGGTCTGCTCTGATTGGTCAAACTTCGATCCAATCTCAATTCTAATCCGTAGTGTGACACGGGCTTTAGTTCGCCTTGAATCGGGCACAGACGCGAAGTGTAGTGAGTCATTCGTGTCATTCGGTTCTTTATCAGTATAAGCGGTGGTCGTCGTTCTCGTGAGAGTCAAGAATACTGTCAAGTAACTTGAAGTAAAATTTGAAACTTTTATCACTGTGAGTCCAAATCAAGTCAAATTCAGTGATCTGAACTCTATAGTTCACATTTTGTACTCACTTCTATCGATAAAAGCGCCTCTAAAACTGGTTTAGAAATCACTGACTGATCGAGAATCACTGATTGACTGAGAACTAAGACTGCGACTTGAATCCGAATTATATCGTTATTCGACTACGAGTAAAATCCGTCCCATGGATATTATCCGGATATTCGGATACTTTGTGTCATGAATAGTACGAATAGTACGGTTTTGAAGCTATTCGGTATTCGGATACTCCGTAATATCAGGGTACTTTCTGCGGAAATATCGGAGTATGTATAGATATAACGATGTCACTATTCATACATTAGAAAAATTATTTATCCGGATAATTGCAGCTGAGAAGCTATATTTAAGGCACTTTTATCATATTAAAGTGAGTTCAGAATATGAACCTTTATAAAGAGCAAACTATCGCCCTTTGTTCGTATTTAATATAAATACCTCTCTCTTTCTTTTTGCTTATTTGGCCACTCTCTTTTATTACAGGGCATTTACAAATTCACTCTGTAACTTCCTTACTTTTACAAACCAAAACAATACCCTTTTCCTTTTATGAAGTGTTTGTACATCCGTCTCACAGCTCTATCAGCATAAAACATTTGCAAGTTGCTTCCTTCTTCATAGAGCGTAAACATATTCATTCCATGTGAAACTCTCTTTGTTTATATACAGCTACTCTCCTTTTTCTATGGAATATGCGAATTCCCCTTGTAGTTTTTTTTAGTTTTATGAATCAAAGCAACTTTTTTTCTTCTTTGAAGACATTCGCATATTTGTCTCACAGCTCTATCAGCATAGAACTTTTCCATGATGCTTTATTCATTCCTTCCCTGTGAAGCATTAACGTATTCACCTCACAAATCTCTCATCAGCATGGAGCATTTACACGTTGTCTGATTCATATTTTGTAGACCATTAGTATACTCGTTTCATATAAATCGTTTGGAAATCAAGATTGCGTATTCATATGCCAATTTTATATACTTGTGCAACTATTTTCTGCTCTTCTTTCTATATAACTTAACGATCTGCTCTCTACTGTTGATTATTTAATTAGGGTCACATAATCCTTTTAAATATATGTTAGAGATGCCCCATACAGTAAGACATAGAGGTGGACGAAAAATAAGGGAGAAAAAAATGAGGTATTTGGAGAAGCTGCAAAGGGGGGAAATTGTCAACAATAATAATTGTCAAACTGTCAAACCACAAGGGACTAGCATTCCAACTGTATGTAAAATAATTTTACATATATATATAATTCCCTAATATATATAACATCTTTTGATAAAAACTTATTTATATTTATACTTAGATATTCCTACTGCTATTCCAAGAAATATAATTTTTATATTTCTTTTATACCATGCTATGTTATAATTAAAATGAGACTGCCAATTTTTGTCTAAAAATTGTTTGTAAAAGACTGACATCTCATCTGCGGTTAATGTCATCTTTCCTTGTGTCTTCAATAATTCTTGAAATTGTTTTCGTTCCTGCAATGATATTAACATTATAAAAATCTTATTCAATATACTATGGCTGTATTTTAGGCGCTCACATACTGTAAGTGCCATTTTATCTTCTTTTGACATCTAATGAACAAGAAAGATAGAATGATGTTTACATTGTGTGAATGTTCAAATTGAACACAGTCCAAGTTGAATGGTCTACAGAACAGAGATATACATATATAAATCATACCTCAATAAAATTAGTATTATGTTTGAACCAGAACTCTTGATTCCATTTTTGAGTATCTTCTTTAAGTTGTCTATATTTTTTCTCTAAGTAAGTTTCCTTTACGGAACGTGCAAACACTATAGGTCTCAAGTTTGAAACTGGATCAGGTGGACCAATTATATCATGAGATTGATGATTATTCTTGAAGGTAGTTGTCTTCTAATAGAAAGGCAGTCAGTATATATATATATATATATATATATGTACATATATATACATACACTGTTTATAAAATCATTTATTGGAAATAAAATATATTTACCGTAGAACATAACCGGCACGATTCCGTTAAATATCTTATACAATGTTTATAACGTAGAGATGTGACATTTAACATCTTATTATAGCTGTACTGTTCTTATAAAAATCATTCACTTTTACAACATATTATCACATTGCTTTCCTTTTCCTCTCTTTCTACGATAATTTTAGTTTTGCAGATATTTCCCAAGAATCGGTATCAATCTTTTAACGACATTAAACGAATAGATTTTATCAAGTTTTGTAAGGTTAGAATCCAATAGCACACAGAGTACATACAGATGCACACAACACACGCACAGCCTACGTGATGTGTTCCGATATTCACTGCCAATACTGAAAATCTATAGTATACTCGGTGCTACAGTTTGGGGAGGGGAGGATTAGTACAACTAGAAGATGCGTCGTATGAGTTTGTCGATTGTGCTGATTGGCTGTCGGATAGAAAATTCCTAGAGTTCCTAACAATTCCTCTAGATGTAATATCATCCTCAATGAGCGAACATCGATGTTTGAAAAAACAACATCGATAAAAATCATCCCTACTTACGTCCATGACCGCGAAAGATGGAAAATCTACTAGTTATAAAATGCATCTTCGATTGCAATAGATAGTCGCGGTTGCTAAGGGAGAATTGCCCAACTTTTGACCTCTTGGCAACAGCAACTGGCGATCGAAACACCTAATTGCAATTGAAAATAACACTTCGTAACTATTAAAAGTAACTAGTAATAGTAATTGCCATCCTTCGCGACGGGGCATTTGCGAATTTGTGTTTTGCATTGCAGAATGACTTTTTCTGCTTACAGGAATGTGTGAAGATTTAAACTATCTGAAGGGCTATTACGGTTTTCAAGGGATGCGTTTAGAAATCCTATTCGATGGATACTTAATTGACAAAAGTGAGCAAATTCACTAGGTGTTGACCAATGAAATTACAAATATTCTGGTAAATTTGCTCACTTTTATAATTTTCATCTTATCCTGAGAACCGTGATCTTGAGCCCCTCTGGTTTTACTCTTCGAGACGCGGAAAGCACGAAAGCATATTTGTTTTAAAATGAAAGATTACATTGTTAAGAATTAAAAATGTAAAGAATAATAGGTAAGACATTTTACTTTCAGATATGTAATGATAATCTCAAAGATAATCAGCATAATAAGCCCGAAGTGGAAAGTTTTAAGAAAGAATTGCTTGTTAATATTTTTAACGATCCACAATCGTACAATATATGTTTAAGAGAAGAAAAAGATGTAAAAATGGAAAGAAATTCATCGGAAATTGATTTGACATCAAATATGTCATGTAAGATATAAATTAGCATTTTCTTTAATTTTCTATATAAACGAAGTAATTTATGTGTCTGTTTGTTGTAAGTTGGGAGCCAAAATATATTGGCTTCCTTTAGTAGGCCTATAAATGTGCAACTACTTCAAGAAACAGAAATACGAAATGGTAATAGTATCATTCACCAAACTGCATCTCCATCATGTGATAATGTATTTTGGGCAAGTCCTGTAAAACAGACAGAGTTAGTTTAATTATTTTCAAAAATATAATATATATAAGTAATATATTGAATAGTATTAATTAATTTCAATTTTCAGAACACACACAAATATGATAAATCTAAATGCGAACGAGCAATTAGCAATGAATATATTAAATGCATCTTCTGACAGCATCAACATGGATATAAATAGCATTCTTTCACCAGACTATTTAAAGGTGCCAAAACATTAATCTTAAATAATGGAAATTTATCATATCTTTATCCTGAAGTGCCTGTACAATCAAAGATAATATCAATTATAAATTTTATTCTTTTTTATCTAAATATTTCAGACAAATAATACACATCGAATTGAAGATCCAACAGGACTTAACAGACGACCTCCATTGTTACCATTACCACTATCGAGTGGACATTGCAGTTCTTCTCCCATGACTCAAACAACTTCATCAGTATTATCAGCATCTGCACCATCTTCTATACTGACATCACCAGGCAATGAAAAAACTAATTCTTCAGAAAAAATAAAGAAAGAAACAGTTCCAAGTGGTGCTTTTCAAAGATATCTAGTTAAACAACTATCTAAAAATATCAATCAAAATATTCCTAATTCTGACTGCTCATTGTCCGATAAAATTTTTGGCCAGTTAGTAGGAGTAGAATTAGAAAAAATACCCGAACCCGAGAAATTAAAGCGAAAACAGGCAATAATGAATATTTTATGGAAGCCATAATTTTGCTTTACAAAATCTTCTTTTTTATACTTAAATTCAGGCAAAATTGTTATCTCTTTTTACTAATATTTTATCTCATATCACTAACATATATATATTATAACATATATTAATTATATATTATATTATCTTATATTAACACGTTGAATGCCACGCTGATTTCCATCGATCGTACAAACGCCTAATTGATTCAATTAAATCACTAAAGCTGCAGTAAATCAATATAATTCAAGATACGCATCTGTTAGCTTGTTTCATTAGCTCATTACTGGCTGTACAACCTATTTTGTAGATGCAATTAATTATACGTCACACGTAATTTAATAAAACGCGGTAACATCATAGCGCCGGTCACCGGTGACCCCCGTGGCATTCAACGTGTTAATATTTGAACGAGAAAACCATGACGTATTTTCTGCTGATATTGTATGTTTTTAATAAACTATTCAACCAACCATGTGTCTAATATAAAAAGGGATTTTATTGCACGATTCATGATTAATTTTCTTTTGCGTATACATTTAATGATATGAATGCCTGGGTAAGTCTTCATTATATTTGTTTATCTGTTCTATGCCTATCTTCGTTTCATCATTAAAGTTTCGGAATAGTTCAGTTAAGTCCTGGTCTATAATAAATGCTTTAAACTTTAAGAAATTGGCCAATCACAGTCAAATGTGAAGAGAATAATTAACTGTTGGTCGATTTTTTAAAGCTTAAGATGATTGTAGACCGAGACTAATAGATAATAAAAAAGCTACATTAAGGGAAACCGTCTAATTGTCTGGCTAAATCTCGCGATTCAGCGCCATATTGTTTCCACCTGTGGATGAATTATCGTTACGCTCGTATCAGACTATGGATTAGGATTGAGATTCGATTGAAATTTAAGCAATTAGAACAAAATTCAAGTTTAGTCAAATTTCAATCGAATGTTGTCTGTTCTATTTAGCTGTATCGCTGATACAAGTATATTTTGTCCACTCTAACTTGTTGCACCAGTTCAGCAGCTAAAAAGAACAGACCACTACTGTCATAGAGAAAGATTCGAGTTGCGATTGGCAGCACTAACAATGAAGCCGAACTTTTTTCAATTCGCGTATAAGCACTGTATTAGTTCGAATAATCGAAATTGCTCGTGTCCTAACGAGTCCACTTCCTTGATTGATTTGGCTTGTCGATTCGTTTGTCGCTTCGGCTGTAACGTAATCGTGAGACCATGTCTTTTCTCTATAGACAGGAGATAAAGTCGCTGCAGGAAGGAATGCAAAACGCTTTCGTGATCGGTGTGGTTATAAACAGCACGAACACGAGAGCGATCGACTCCAGTCGAACGAGGTGTACGTATTTGTACATATCCTTTCTTTCGCAGAATTTATTTATTTACCGAAATAACTCATCCCTCCGTGAAGAATTCCCGTTTGAAATTATCTGTAATCAAGCGCACGTACAATTCCACCTTGTCAGGCTCGAATCGGAAAGAATATTCATTCTCACGTCGTCGATTTACGACAGTCAGTTGAATCGAGAAGAAGCTGAACAGTCAAGTCTTTTTTCCGAAACTTTTGTCCCCAAGTAGAATCTGTCCTTCGCGTAAAATGAAGAGGGGAAACTCTTCTGTGAGAACATCTGTACCTACTTGCTGACTGTTGCAGTTCACAAAGGCGACCGTAGCGTGTGGACATTCACGTTGCGCGATTCCGAGGAGGACTTTATTAACGTGACGGTATGGGGTAGCGCGGAATTTATAACGAAAGTATCGTCCGCTTACAATATGGGATCCGTAGGTGCGTGTGAATTCTGTATCGATAGCATATATTAATCTCGTTACATATATTAATCTCGCGCATCACCGTCATTTTTACGATGATAACGCGAGTTATCGGTTTTCGCGAGCCTGTGAAGCTAGGGGAACGCCGTAAGCTTGTCCCCCGAATATTATCGCCACGAGTGTGTCTCTGTTTTACAGTGGAAGTGATAAGTGCGAAGATAGTGAAGCGTCAAGCCAACGACAGAAACGAGGAATTCGTGCCGTCGACCAGCAGCCCCTTCGTTCTGATCGTGAACGAAGGCGCGGCGATTATACAGCATCACGATGCACCCACTCGCGAACAATACGCGAGCTTGCTGACGCGGCCTGTGAAAAGTGTCGGGTCCGCGAAGAGTCTGAAAACTATACTGGAGAACATCGAGGCGCTGTGCGACCGATTCGTCGATCTTTTCGTCGTGGTCACGTTTGTACGTTGTGACGGAAGTAACGCGTGAGCTCGATCATAACGTTTCTCGAAACGACGCGAACACATTGCTGGAATTTCGAATTTTCCGGTGAAAGTATGAGAAATTTTCCTCCCTCCGGGTTTTGATTTCGTTCGACAAACCACGTTAATTTCTTGATAATTTTGAGAAACAATGACGCGAAAAGTACTATTCTTGTTATGCTGAACAATATTCAATCGAGCAACGAACTATTGCAGGTCGCGGATGCGCGTAACATAACCACGCGAGACGGACGGTCTTTAACGTGCCGCAGTTTTGAAGTTGCGGACGGATCGACGGACAATACGGTGTCTTTGATATTGTGGGAGAAGGACTGGGTTGAGAGATCCGCATTTTGGGAACCGAAGCAAACGGTATTGTTCCTGACCGACGCTCGCATCGCGTATGATGAATATAAGAAGAAAACGGCGCTGAGCGTAGGTGCGTCGTGAGAGTGTTCGAACGCTGCGTAAAAAGTCGTACGAAAGCTCGTATTGTGGGGAAACTTAATATTCATCATCCGTCTGTATTGTACACAGCAAGGCGAACGTTGATCACAGAATGCTCGAACATACCGCAGGCGGCAGAGCTTAAAAGCACAGTGGAGCATTACGATCCAGATTCGATGAGCAGCGACCCGTTCGCCGTACCGAATCGTAAGAATTCAGACGATAATCTCTTGATGCCAAGATTAAACGAACCTTTTTTATTATATTCCACGGAGACAGTATTTTCGTGCCATTAATTAATCAGTTAATGAATTATTAATTAATTAATTAATTAATTAATTAATTAATCCAATTTCCCTGCTAATCGACAGCGGATACTATTACAACTGTAATGACGATACAACAAATCACGGAGAAATTACGAAAAAAGTCGAGCACGGATTTGGAAAGATTGCAGTTCGCGGCGATCGTGAAAGCTTCGGTGACCGAGATGAATCTAGGAGATTTGTCCAGTGTGATATCCATAAAATGGTATCTACTTTCTTCTTCACTCCTCACAATCGTATTCATTATCCGGTGAGAATCGAGCAAGCCCTGTCAACGCTATCATGTTCGTTTCACTTAGCGCTCTCTGTAAAAAGATCGTCGCGCGCGTTCAAGATTCTTGTATGGATTTGAACTGTCCATCCGGCAATGGAATGCGATCGCCTTTGAACACCGTTAAGTTCAACGTGAAAGTCAATTTAAAGGACGACACCGGATATCTCATCGGATGCCGCTTGACTGGCGACTTCGCCGAGCGTGTCCTGGGCTGCACGCTCGATGAATTTCAGGTGATCTGTTTTCAAATTGATCAAACTTTAAGTTGAAAAATTTGGATTAAAAACTTGAAGTTAAGTAAGAACGGTAGAATTAGTTAGAACTGGATCGTTCCTGATTATACGTTCCCTATAAGCGTAATATTATGTAATATTAAGTAATATTTCTGGAATATTAAGAGATGGTTTTATGTCCACTCCTAATAATATTTAAAAAGTAATAATATTTAATATTATCGCGATATTATATATTTTTTAGATATTCAACTCTTTGTATATATGTAATATATATATAATTGCTTTTTTTTTCAAACGTATTGCAATACCAATTGTTTTGTTATATAAATAAAGTCGAAACAGTTTTGTATAAAAATACGTTTTATATTTAAAAAAATTATATATATTATATATATTATTATTATTCTATTCTTTTTTCAATATTCTAAGAACATTTTTATATGCCAAGAATATCATGTGAAGCGGATATATAACATCAATAGAACATTCCTATATTATTAAAAAAATAACACATTCTTAGAATATTACATAAATATTATTTTAACATTGAATATTCATATAATATTCTAAGAATATTACGCATTTATAGGATTCGCGCAAAGTACGCGAGAGTTAATTGTTAATCACGATCGCAGGCAATGACGGTGGAACAACGCGAAGAGTTACAATGGATGTACCTGTTGGAGAAATGTGAGGTTCGCCTGCACATTCTTGGGCCGACGTCCGTTTTCCCGCGTGCTATGTACAATGTTCTGTCCATTCATCGTTCTCGGGGTGAAGAAGCGGAACAACAGTCGGAACAGAGTGTGACATTGTCCGAGTGTTAAAAAAACGTTTCTCGCTTTTTCTAGTTGTTCTGACTCGATAAAAATTCTTCCCTTTATTACGTTCCTCGTGTTATATATACATAAAGATGTTACTTAAATATGTCGTTATGAAGTGTAACAATCCGTAACTACGAGATTGTTGTTAACTTTTGTTATCGTTTTTCGTCGTCTTCGAAATATCTCTAACGTATGTATTCCTTACGACATCATAGTTTATTTCATAAAGAAGTTTCTTACCAACAGATAAGAGAAAGGATGTTTGAGAAACATGTTTTACTTAAATAAGAATTTCTTCATTTTCGCCTAATATATGCGTTCATTGACGTAGAGAAACTATGTAACATATTACATAAATGAATATATATTGTTTGATTCTCATTAGCTGTCACGTGTCATTTTTCGATGATTCGAAAAACGCGCCACACGTAGCAACCTGAGCAGCGTTCAATGTCACGTGATCACAGCTAATGGACAGAACAGACGGTGTTGAGCTGTGATATTGTTTGTCGATGGTGAAAGTGAGATTGAACTTGTTTCTGAGTACACTTGTAAAGATATCACTAGATTTTTGAGTAATTTAAATAATTTGACTTATATAAACAAAACGCTGCTGATAACGACGATACAATAATTCCCTTCGGGAATTATAACAGACGACCGGGTATATCTTCGCTCGCGAAAGATACACTCGTGAATTTTTTACTGCTGGTTATACCAGCTTATGACAAAGAATATCTCGACACGTTAAACCTGACAATGCGAAGTATTGTCATTCATCTTCGGGGATCTCTGTAAAAACGAAAGTAAAACATTAGGAAAGTAACAAGTGGTACCTAAGCAACGGAAAGCGTCGTAATAGATCTTGAAAGTGACAAATAAGAGAGGAAGAAAAGGACGGAAAGATATTTGTTGTGTGCGAATGAAGTCAAATACATGTGTAAAGATGAGTATAAACCATGATTGGGACGTAGAGAAACACAAAACGGAACACGAATGCGACGAACACTGGGAATTGAGGCGTAAATTTCTGCTGGCTCATAAGAAGAGATTTTCAGAGGACGAACTCGTTTGTTTGGCTCAAGTGTTCTGTAACGTTGAACTGTTGGGATGCAGGTAATGTAACGTGACATTATATCATGTATGTTATATTTTTCAATAACAACTTATTTCTCTAAGAAACTGTAGATCACATTAAGACTGTGGTATATTAATGTATTAATATTTATGATTTAAATTAGTTTCATATAACCTTAATAGAAGGTGGATAATTACACAAGTTGAATATATTTTTTTACCATAGATATCCAAAAGAAACGATGGATTTAGTAGCCGAGTTATCTGAAGAAATCGCGGCTGAATACAGGGAGAAGCAAAAGACAAAATTACAAAGAACATTTGTAAAAGCTTCAGAAGCAGCTAGCTCAAAGGTTAAAGGTATAATAAAAAATTGTGAGTTATGCTTTGCATTTCTTTATTTTTTTTCATTCTCTACTAAATAAAAATACATTTTGTACTTATCGAACTTGAGAAAGTTTTATTTGTATCTAATATCTATGTTCGTTTCTAATATCATATGTTAATAATAGTTTAGTATATCTGCATAATAATTTGAACGTATTATTTTTTACTTAGGATATACCGCTCAAACATCTCCTGTCACAGAAAAACCCATTGAAACTGTATCAAACACAACCAACGTAAAATTAGAATCTGAGACTAAGATGACTAAAGCGACGAGAAATAAACGCAAAAAGGAAGTGTCCCAGTGCCGTGGTAACACCAGTGACACGGAATCTTTACCTGAGAAAAAATTTAAAAATACAGATCTTCCATATGGAGATATCGTTCTGGTGGAAAAATCAGATGATATACCACAAAGCATATTGTCCTATTCAGTTAATATATCAGGAAATCATCTGGAATGGAAATGCACTCAGAAAGACCAATCATAGTGCGTATAACTACTCTTGTGATATAAGACAGAGAAAATTGTTAAATAATATCTAACCTGTGAGATGCATACATTTGTAGCATATACGATGTCATATTTTATTATATCTTATTTCAGCGATTGCACGGTCTATATCAATTCAACGCCAGTAGCATGCGCATCCGGTAGTGGTCGAAAAAATGCTAAAAAAAAAGTTGCCGTTATTGCATTAGACGAATTACGAAAACATTACTATACTATTAAGGTGAGAAAAGCAGAAAATGTTAAATTATTTGAATAGATTTGTGTATAAAAGAAATGGCTCAATATTTAGATGTAGGGAGAACGTTTTTTATTTAATTAGGAAAAATCGGTTTTTATAACCGATTCAGTTTCTATTGCACACACACACACACACACACACACACACACACACACACACACACACA